GTACACAACTTCTGAGTTTATTTGACATTTCGATATTCGACAATTTTTTTATGAAAGTTAAGCATTTCCGCTATGTATGAACTACATAATTATACTATTCTGTGCTAACCAAAATAATCATCATGTCGAGCTGTTGTTACCATCAGCAGGCCTATTCAGAAATGTCAATAATTAAGGCAAACGGATTTTTTGTGGCCTGAAACAGTTAGTCTTCTTCTTCTCCTGAAGATGCATATCAGTTAGCAAATCACGTGTCGACGCGTTGAAAAATCGGTTTGATTAGTGGTACCAATAACAGTGTTTTTTTGCCATCGGCTCAAAATTCGCCCATTTTCATTCCAAAATTAGCTCTTGTAGTTGCCGTTTATGTTCCTGACACATTAAAATAATTAGTATGTATGTTGCTAGGCAACAGTTTCAGTGTCTAGGAGCTAAAGTTGAAGTTAAACTCTTAGGAAATGAAGACGTGTCGAATGACAGCTGATATGATAGTTGCTTTGACACTGATCGACATGCTCAAGAGACTCGAAATTGTGATATTTTCAATCATCATTTATTTATTGATTGGATATCAATTATTTTGACTGCAGAAAAAATAGCATGTTTTATTCTGATCAAAAGTGACTCTGTTTCACTCACTAAAATTTGCGTGCTCGGCTTCGCTATCGCTCCGCCTCGCAAGCACAAAATATCGCTTGTCAAACAAACTGTCACATTTGGTCTTGATAATGATATACTATTACTGTAAATAAAATGAAGTTTCTCACCTCTTGCGTAACGGACGTTGTATTCGAATAGATCGACTCCTCGTTATCAGCGTTATTACTACTCGATTGATTGAAGTTAGGGGTTGAAGGTCCCATAAGTTCGATAACAGTTTGCAGTTCATTTTTCACTTTATTTAACGATGAACAGCAAGGTGTAGGAGTATGACTTCCTTCTGAATCTGAAACTCCAGAATTTTACTTTGGATTGCTCATTAAGTACCAACGTATCTGGGAAAAGCGGAACTCGAAGGTGCTTATATGTACGTACAGAGTGAGCGAAATTCGATATCTCAACACCAGTATGAGAAATGAAAGAAATATGGAAAGAACAATACCCAGAGGAGTTTTTCAAATGAGATTGATCAAGGTACAGTCGCATTCAAAAGAAAAGCGTACAAGTATATTACAGAGAGAAATTAACGTCATCCTATTCTGCATATAATAATGATAATAATATTAATATTTATTTCACTTGTTAAACCGTATGAAAGCGTTACAATAAACATTTACGTACAGTAACAAGGAATACGTCTGTGTATAAATAAGAGAGTAGGAGATAAATATATATATAGAAAGAAAAAACAAACATTTTATATAAAACGACAAAACTTGACACCTATTAATTTGGACATATACAGATGGGTGATTTATTGATTATCGTGAGTTACTAAATCTCGTCAACGGTGTAGCAGTTTCTTTCTACGAGATATTTTTTTAATTGTCTTTTGAATATGGAGATATTCTTTGAATCCTTAATAGAAACATCTAGCTTGTTAAATAGTTTGGGTCCAAGGTAGAGGTGACTCCTCTGATAAAGGGAGGTTCGGTGAGGGTTTGCTATCAGCAAACCTCTTGCCCTCGTTGAATAAGGGTGGTCTTGTTGGTTTGCCCTAAATTTATCTCTATTCTTATAAACGTAGAGACATATCTCATATATATACAGACCAGCAACTGTGAGTATTTCCAGCTCTCTAAATGAGTTTCTGACCGCGCGTTTTTGTAGAATGAATACTCTTTCAACAGAAGACCTCATACCCCAATTTAGGATTCCATAGCGCAGGTGACAGCCAATAGTTGCATAATACAGATTTAGCAGGACCTCTATTCCACAATGATTCGACATAAATCTCAGTGCATAACAGTTCTTTCGTAGTTTATCACATAATGAATCTATATGAGGACTCCAATTGAGCTTATGATCTATAATTAGACCTAGCATTTTTGTTTTTGGGTTGGATGTCACCTCTATTTGGTTATCTTCATATATTTTTAGAGTTTCCGTTGTGTTATGCATTGAGAATGTTACTAATGCTGTTTTGTTGATATTTAGTGCTAAGTGATTTTTATCAGCCCATTCCATTATTCTCTCATATATGGATTCTGTTGTTTCTACAAGTGCTGACTTATTATGATCATTGACCAGAACATTTGTATCGTCTGCATATGCAACTATATGTACCTTCGAAAGACTATTTAGATATAGTATCAAGTCGTTCGCATAAATAAGAAAAAGTAATGGTCCGAGTATGGATCCCTGAGGAACTCCTTGTCTGCACGCCAATGACTGACTGTGAACACCTTGGATTATCACTCTTTGTGACCTATTCTCTAAATAGGACCTTATCCAATCTTGGGCAATTCCACGGACCCCATAGCGATGCAATTTCTGGATCAGCACATAGTGATCAACACAGTCAAATGCCCTGTAAAAATCGATGAACAAACCACAGATTTGTAGTTTGTTATCCAAGGCTGTTACTACGTTCTCTATGAAATCATGCAGAGCTGTTTCCGTGCTTTTATCTTGCATGAAACCATGTTGGCTTGTCGAAAGAAGTTCATTTCTAAGGAAAAATGATATTAACTGATTTTCAATATTCAGTTCGTATAACTTGGATATACTAGAAAGAAGACTCACTCCTCTATAGTTCTCATAGCTATTTGAGTCTCCTTTTTTAAAGATTGGGGTAACGATTGCAGATTTTAATTTTTCAGGGAACACTCCTTGTTCCACGGAAAGATTTACCAGATATGTCAGGGGGTAGACTAGTTCTTCCATGCATTTTTTTCAAAAGATTGTTTGAGATCTGGTCATATCCGGTGGATTTAGAATTTTTTAATTTATTTATTAATTCAACAACCTCAAGTTCGTTGATTGGATGGAAAAAGATGGAGTTTGGGCAGAGTGTGACTATATTTTCCATTAAATTCAGATCATATTCTCTTTGTTCTACAGTTTTCGTGAAATGTGCATTAAAATTGTTAGCCATATCAGTACATGACACCCTATGTTCCCCCTCAAAAATGGAAATATCTTTGGGTTTATAGTTTTTTTTTGGATATTATTAATTGTTTGCCACATGGTTTTTTGTTTATTTTGAGAACTATTAATCTTATGCTCAATGCATCTTTGATTATTCTGCTTTAATTTCTCCCTGTATGTTTTTGTTACTTGGCGACATATGTCCTTGAAATTTTCGTCTACTCTTGCGCATTCTGAGTATAGAGAAACCATATTCTTGAGGTTATAGAGTTCTGGGGTGAGGGGGTTAGATCTAGCTATTTTTGTTTGTCTTGACCGTTTAAGTGGAAAAGATATATCAATGTAATCAATAAAACGGGCTATCGGGAATGATGGGGAGTGTATAATCTCTGGCTTACCAAATGTTGACAGTAAATTTGTCATTGGTTCTCAAAAACACGAAGCACTGGCTGAGCCAGTTTTACACAACTAGAACTAGGATCCCGATATCCTATCTTTTTAATACTTGTACGCTTTTTTATTGAATACGACTGTACATTCTGAACCAAATTTGCATATTTTTCAATATTTGTGGAATTTTGTAAAGAAAGAAATTTCGTGAAGAAATTCGAAATTTTGAGAAAAAAGAATTATCAAAACTTCGCAGTCGTCAGAGTCGTCGCCATTTATGTATATGGATGGGTGTCCTGAAAAAATCCAAAACTCTAGGAAAATATCTTCTGAAAATTCTCACATGAAGATGAGCCATATGCTTGAAAAACAGAACGAGAAAAAACCAGTGAGGAATGAAGAGATGGAATCAGATAAGAGGTAAGAGAAAAAATTTAATAATTTTTCTCTTCAAATTTTTTTCCTTGCGAAGTTACAAATTAAATAAAAGGAGAAAAACAATAACTCAAAGTCGGTCGACCACAAAATTTAATAAAAACCTTCAATGTGTAACTAGTTTCGGCCACACGGCCATCTTCAGACACAAAAATTATAATGAAGTACCTGAAAAATTCGAACAGTTCTTAATCTGAATAATATGGCAGCTGGGAAAGAACATACCTCTATGGAGAAAACATCTTAAAAATTTTTTTAAATAAAAGCACTGGTCAAGTTATCGTTACAAATCAATCCGGTAAAACTAAGTATCTTTGTAGCGGCTAAAAAGCCAAAAGAACTTCAAAATAAGTAAGTTCGGTTTTGTAACGATAACTTGACCAGTGCTTTTATTTAAAAAAATTTTTAAGATGTTTTCTCCATAGAGGTATGTTCTTTCCCAGCTGCCATATTATTTAGATTAAGAACTGTTCGAATTTTTCAGGTACTTCATTATAATTTTTGTGTCTGAAGATGGCCGTGTGGCCGAAACTAGTTACACATTGAAGGTTTTTATTAAATTTTGTGGTCGACCGACTTTGAGTTATTGTTTTTCTCCTTTTGAAAAATACTGGACCACTTTGAGAATGGATGGTTTCCATGACTTTTACAAATTAAAGCTGTTATCATGTTTTTTTTTTCACATTTACAGGGCACTTTACCTACCTAAAGTTGCGGAGATTCATTTACCAAAGCTTCTATCAAAATAATTTGAAATAGTACAAGTTTTGAAATGATGATGATGAAATGATAGTATCATCTGATTTTGAACAATATGCTGAAAATGTATCGACACAAATAACTTATTCATTACGGCGTAGTTCCTACCCATAGATGTTCTACCTTGTATATGAATCGTTACCTGAGGTAGCAGTGCTTCGTTTCAAATGATCTGGTGTGAAATTCATACCCCTATTCTTTTGATTATGTCTTCCTTTTTCTCCAACCATTATCTTCCAGTTTGCTTTACTTTTTGTATACTTACTCTGTTTCATATAATATTTGTAAATCCATTTTGTACACTGCTTCAAAAATAACACTGACAATTAAAGTCAAAGATGACAAAGTCGTATGAAACTGTCTAACCATTGTCATGCATAATTCGTAATTCGAAGATGGACAAAGAAGCAAATAGACTACGCAAACGATGCAGATTGACCAACAGGAATATGGTTGATGCCCCTTCACTGGAAGACATCATCGCCACCCAACTAACAGAAGAACTGATGGACAAGTTCAAGGTCAATAAGGAGAAACGAGAAAAGCTACGACAATTTCAATCAGATTACACGAAGAAAAAGAAGCTGAAGGAGTTTGATACTCGTCTCGTTCCTCTGTACCCTGAAGTTCCGCGGATGAACGAATCCCACAAGAAAATTCGGGGGTTCGCCGATTTATGTCCATCCACAGAGATGTCTTCATTTCAAGAAATCGCGATTAGAAGACGGATTTGTGTTCCTAGCTTGGAAAGCAAATATAAGAATATAGTTGATAATATTGTTGTGGAAGCTCGAAATGAATTCGTGATGATAACACATGCTGCTGGGGTAAGCCAGAGTATATCCTTCATCAGTTTTCATATAGAGTGAAGTCATTATCATGATGTGGAGATTATAATTACTTTCAATTGAAAAGAGTTCAACAATTTCTTGATATCTCCTACCTACTTGATGGCGACGCGAGCGATAATCTTGCTGTATATTGAAAGTTTCAAACAATTTTTTTTTCATTTTTATTATTCATTTATTTATTTATTGAACGAATAACTTCCAAAGGCTCTGATATAGGGAAGTACATACATATATAGGTAAGCATTTCATCATTCAAAATATATCAACAACTATAAATTGGCAAACAAAGAATAATATTTTTAGATAAAACATGGTGAAATAATATGACTAATTTCATCCAGTTCGTTCTGAAATAATCCGTTATTTTCAATTTATTCTGGGATAGATGAACTTATATTTCTGCAGTTTTTGATACTGGCAGGTATTTTACTGAATTCAGTTAAGGCTCAATGAGTGAATATTTTTTGTCCGAGAACAGAGCTTCAATTTGACATTCATTTTTGTGTAGATGCATAAAACGGTAGATATACATGATCTGGCAATATCTATATTTGTTCAATCTACCCACACAATAGTACAGTCATCTCTTATATAATATTTTTATTGATCATGCTAAAATTAACAAAATCCACAGCGATCCGAAATTGTTTGAGTATGGTGTTCCTCAAGGAAGTATTTTACGTCCACTTTTTTTCAATATTCATTTGAATGACTTACTACAACTGAATTCAACTGGTACTATACATTCTTTCGCAGATGATACTGTTATCTTCCACCCTGCGAAAGATTGGTGTGAATCAAAAAACAAAGTAATCAATGATTATTAAAAAGTGCTTTGATCGAAATTTATCAACAAATAATTTTGAAAAAAAACAAATATATGACATTCACTTCCTATAAGAATTCTTAACCAAATTTGGGCACTATAAAGATAAATAGAGAAATTATAATCTGAAATAGGATCATCATATTGATTATGTCTCTAAGAAAATAAGATGCCTCATTCCTGAATTCAAACATTCGAAGAAACTTATTGAATATTCGTAATCTAGAAATGATATATTATGCTTCAGTTCAATCTCAATTAGTTCATGGGATATTAGGATGGGATGGAGTGAAGCAGCTATTTTTGAGGAAATTGGAAATAGCACAAAAATAGATTTCGAAAATTATTTATGGAAAAGATTATTTGTTTCCAACTGACCTGTTATCTATAAGGAATCTAAACAAATGGATATAAATCAATATTATATATACAATTTACTGATTCATATTTTCAAAAATAAAAAAGGTATTCAGTTCAAAGAAGACGAAAGAAATAGAAATAACATAACATTGAAATATGGAACAAGCAAGTCAATTGGACGTAAAAATTATAAGTTTTCAATTCCTCACCTATATAATAAAATTCCAAATGATATATCATGAAAACAAAATCACTCCAATCCTATACGATTAGACTTCCCTGAAAATGATTTTATCTCTTTAATCAACATTCAATAATATAATTAAAAACATCGAAATAAATATTGTGTATAAATAAATATGAATATAAATGATTATGCTCAGTACCCTATATATGAATTATATACATGATGTCTCATTTCCTTATGAGACAATTTTCCCTTGTGATAATTTGATATTGTAAAAAATTTATTGACCTATGTAGATTCGTTTTTTTATCCTTACTACAAGTTTCAGTTCGTGAGGTTTTTCCCAGTTTATTCAAAATACCTATTTTGAATAAACTTATATCATTATCATTATATTATCTTCCCTTTCATACTCAGGTCAACTTGAAGACAAAACCTATCGACCATACCACCAGTCGCTGCAGACCTGAACCCTACAAATATATGGGCAAAACTGACCATTACCGCGTATTTTTATGGGCTCGCAGAGAATTGCAAGCTAAATACATGCTACAACAACCACTCGTCCAGAAAGTGTTCAAAGAATGTTGTGCCCTACCAGACACGTTATTCTATCTCGGTGCCCTCAGGAGTAAGCCCTATGATTTGAAAGAGCTGGATGATGTTTTCACCCACTTCATCAATGATGCCCAAAACTTGCTCAAGAAATCTTACTATAGAGTTGCTGAACTAGTAGAAGAAGATGATACTAAAATGACTTCATCAGCTTATGAACGTCTGCTCAGAGTGTGTACGGGGCTTTTTTCTGTTAGCATGAGTAAAGCTATTCAAGAAACTATAAAACATATATCCAATGTTACAGGCTCTAAAAATTTAGTGCCATACCTGAAGCTATCTCTGAAATACAGTGAAAACTTAGCTCTGCATCCCAGCGAGCAGGATGTAATTTTGATATATTCTCTTCTGATTACTAAGTTGGTGGACATTGCACAAGCGTTCAACGTTTTCGAAATGTCGAAAATCAAAGATTATCCTCAAACTTCAATTCATGTGAATGTAACTGAGGAGTTTTTATCTGAGGCATTGGAGACCATTGGAACGAACATAATTGAAATGTTCACACCTGTTTCAGAATATCTGGGTACTCTCAGTGAGGATTTCAAAGAAATGTACCAGACCTGTGGTACCCAGAACGAATGTGAAAGACCTTTCGACGAAGGCTGTAGACAGATCAAACATTATCAGAATTATATCAATAAAGCTAGTTCTATGTTGAGCAGCGAATATTTTGCAATTGGACAATTAATTTTGTCAGACTATGTTATTTCTATGAAGGAATCATTGTCCGTTTACATCGAGAATATTTTCAACGAACTATGTGATATTCACATCCAGGAAAATTCAGAAATCATTGATTGTTTCGAAGAGATTAAAGCTGAAGCTTTAAGGAAACCTTCTACTAGTGAAGATCTCATCGAACAAGGTAAGTTTGTCGTCTGCTAGTGAATAATTTTTGTTTGCTCACTCTCCTAAAAGGGGTTTGCAAAAAGCGTAGCTGATGAGTTTTTCATCTAATTCAGAATAACATTAAATTTCAGAAAAGGTAAACATTTCAATCTCCCAACTCTGTTATGCATTGTTGAGATGAAGTGAGTTTGCTCTCATATATAGGTTTTGAAATAAATGGCCCGACTTTTGTATATATACCTACTGCATTCTTCCTTTCTCATCCTGTGATCGACATAACATTTTCTACTTCAAAAATTAAAGGAATAGTTATTTGTTTAACTAGGCAGCATAAAGTAACGAGGCTAGGAATTCAGCTAAGGCAGTCAATCTACTTTGCTGCCGAGTTGAACATATAATTTTTTCTCCGATTGTTCATAATGATATAGGAGGATATTGTATTTGCAAATTATTACAATTCCCACAATCTCTTCATTTTTCCTGTAGTGTTCAATTAAAATAAAATTTGAGAGAAATCGCAGTTGTTGGAATGGTTGGTTGCTATAGAAATGTTTATAATAATTATAGTTTGACAATTCATGAAATTTCTGACAGTTTTTCGAAAAAATGTCGGTCCACTTTGCTGCCTAGGCAGGAAAAGTGATACTCTGCTGATTCATATGTATCAGCAAAATTAATATTTTCTGCCAATCGGAGAAAAAACAATTCACGGTCCTATGGTGAAATATCAAATGACGAAGTTGTAGGTAACAGGTAGGTTATGTGAAAAATTGGAATAATCAAGTTTTTTATTTTCCTTATGCAAAAAAAATTCACGAAATTTGGTGGAAACTTACCTTTTCATGTCCTAAAGACACTGTTTCTTTTTTATTTGAAATATTTATTTTTTCACCTTATTTTGACTTGATATCGAAAAACACCCTGATTTTCAATCAAAAATTCTCACGTCAAGATATCAGCTTTTTGAAAAAAACTCGGGGCGTTTTCTATTCGTTGAAATCTGTTCTTTCTGATCATGTAGGAAAGTATATATACGTTACTATAGTAAATGTTCTCAGAAATGCAAAGAAAAGAAAAAAACTCGAATCCGAATTTTTTTTTATCACTATGTACAATTTTGAGCTATTTAGCAAAATTTACACTCTGATTACATGAAGATTGCAAGGAACATGCAGAAATAGTTGTTTTAAATATTAAAGATAAAATTCAAAGAAAGGATTTCGATAAAAATATGTGATTGCTGCAATTTTTCTCAGTCATGAAGTTGATTTATTGAATTCTGATCATATTTATGTCATACAAAATCTCATAATATTTTAATAGAAATATAAATAGTACTATAGAATTGAGATACTTCATACTGATTATTATTATTAATAATAATATCTTTGAATGCATTAATCATCTTATTTATGAATCTCATTTTGAACCCTAATCACTTATCCATTACTTTTTGTCTCTTCGGTGGCATTTCTTTATCGTTAGATTCGACAAATCTTCCCGATTCTAGTAGATCTTCGAAAGCTTCAAGACCATCACCGTCTTCGTATCCAATATTATTTTTAGTCTGAATTGGTCCTTCATCCACAATTTCATCTGAATCACTAACTTCCTTGGATTCGAGTTTTTTCTTTTCTTTGCATTTTCTGAGAACATTCATCATAGTAATGTATATATTTTCTTACATTATCAGAAAGAAGAGATTTCAACGAACAAGGAACGCCCCGAGTTTTTTTAAAAAGCTTATATTTTGAAGAGACAATTTTCGATTGAAAATTATGATGTTTTTTCGATATTAAGTCAATATAAGGGAAAGAATGAATATTTCAAATCAGAAAAACTACAGTGTCTTCAGGACATGAAGAGGTAAGTTTTGAGCTAATTTCGGGATTTTTTTTGCATAAGAAAAATAGGAAACCAAAAACTTGATTATTTGAATTTTTCACATGAATTTTGGGGTTATGTGGAAAGAGTGTAATCACAGAAGTTGTAGGTCTCTTTATTACCTACAACTTTGCTCCATAGGACTCGTAGTTTTGCTGGAAATCAAGATGAACCCTTGAAAACTCATTCCCTACCACATCCCGACCTCAGATCGTCCGGAATTCATTTCCCCTTTCATCTTTGTTGTATTCTCTTTCTTTTTCAACTAGTTTCATCCTATCATAATTGTTCTTCACATTTTACCATTTCCAAAGGCTTCAGCACTGGTCTAACTAAATTCGAGTGCCATTCCTGCGAACCGCGAACAGTGAATTCGGGTTATTTATAACAAAGGCTCTATATCTTTATGAAGTAATATTTCTAGTTTTTCGAAGAATAAAACATAATACGATTTTAAGATCAATCGCCTTCTATCTTGTGAACAAAAAGTCTACGGTCCATTTTCACATTCATCTCGTTTTCAAGTTATCATCTATTGACTGGAGAAATTCTCCAAGAAAAATGATATTATTCAACTACATATTAATCTGAATTGGTGAATTTTTCAGGAAAATACATGATTTGGGTAAAAACTGATCTTTTAAACGACATTCGCCTAAGAATTCAGCAAATGCTGAAAGATCTCACGCAACTGATTGAGTATGGTACAGTCAAGAAAGAGCACATGGAACTGAATTCAACTACTATCAACTGGTTGCAAAACATGGAACCCATTTTAGATATCAATTCTAGTATGTACGAACAACTGAAGTTCGAATATGAAGAAAGATTGCAGAAAACCATCGCCAATGTGAACCAATCCATTGTCATATTGGTTCCTCTTTTGGGTGTGTTGGATGACATGGATGATTTCGAAAGGTTGTGTATAAATTTGATTCAACAATGATACATATAGAGGAATAATTGTATTGAGAAGGAATATTCTCGGATATAATTATGATCATAAAAAAATAGATGTGTACAACCTATATACGTGTATCCCACTTACCATGATCACCATGGGTGTCTTTTTAACGGTGAGAGATACGAGGTCGGTTAAATGACACCAAATGTGGAGTTTGTCAAGGCCAACTATAATGTGAAAAAATATTTTGATAAAATCTTTTCGTTTTTGTTTTATACGCAAAAAACAGATTATGATCATTTTCATGTCTCCTCCGTAACTTCTTTATTTATGAAGATATTCAAATAGGAATTTCACATTCTCATGGCAGTTTTTCAAAGTGATTTCGAAAAAGAATATGAAATTTATACCAACTCTTCTAGAATTTGAGATATCAGCACCAACTTTAGTTTTTCAAATGTAGGTCATAGCTCACTATGACTTAGTTACAAATAACTTTTTTTTTTCTCACAGATGATGTGTCGCAGTTATAGTTTTGTGTTGATAACAACGGAGTTATCGTCATTTATACAAAAACAATAAACTATTTGAAAGCCGCCATCTTGAATTCATAAATTTTGACAAAAAAATCATGATCTTCGACCTCAAAAACCCCTACTTACCAATTTTGAATGGAATCGGACCAAATCTTGTCCGCCATCTTGGAACAGCCATTTTTTTCAATTTCAACAAAAATTCCATGATGTATTGTCACCGAAATTATGAACTCCTGCCAAATTTCAAGTTGATCGAAATTATGAAATGTTTGTTGAAATTTAAAAAAATGGCTGCTCCAAGATGGCGGACAAGATTTGGTCCGATTCCATTCAAAATTGGTAAGTGGGGGTTTTTGAGGTCGGAGAAAAAAAATAAAAATATCCAACTTGAACTTTACTGAAGTAAATACAATTCATACTCATGCAACGAGACAGTTGAATTCATTAATAGCAAACCCATATAACTCAATCATTGGCAAACAATCAGTATTCTACAACGGAATCATTTTATATAATTCATTACCTTATGATTTGAAACATATTGATGATGAAACAAGATTCAAAGTCAATATGAAAAAATATATACTCATGACACAATAAACGGAGCAATTTATTCTCATTTGAATACTTGGAATGGTTTTATTTTAATTATTATGTTATATTGACATAACTTGTTAATTAGTTTTTTTTATTTTTTTATTGTTTTTTATATATATATATATATATATATATATATATATATATATATATATATATATATATATATATATCATATGTTTATGTATCCCTATTATAAACAAATATGTTTCTTGGGGTAATAAAGAACAACAACAACAACAACAATTTACGAATTCAAGATGGCGGCTTTCAAATAGTTTTTTGTTTTTGTATAAATGACGATCACTCCGTTGTTATCAACACAAAAAAATTACTGCGACATATCATCTGTAAGAGAAAAAAAAGTTATTTGTAACTAAGTAATAGTAAGCTATGACCTACATTTGAAAAACTAAAGTTGGTGCTGATTTCTCAAATTCTAGAACAGTTGGTATAAATTTCATATTTTTTTCGAAATCACTTCGAAAAACTGCCATGAGAATGTCAAATTCCTATTTGAATATCTTCATAAATAAAGAAGTTACGAAGGAGACATGAAAATGATCATAATCTGTTTTTTGCGTATGAAACAAAAACGAATAGATTTTATCAAACTATTTTTTCACATTATAGTTGGCCTTGACAAACGATACCTACCCAAGGTGAGCATGGTAAGTGGGACACACTGTATAAAGAAATACATTGAAAATTCGCATTTTCTATCTGATGAAAATATCAATTCTTTCTCGGTTTACTCAACAGAAAACAACTACTTTCCTGGCTATATGCCACGGCGAACATTGAATTGCATCTATCGAACACACACTATAAGAATTTGAATACAAAATCTTCTGAAGTATATAATTTGCATTCTCCTCCATATGAAGATATGCACATCATATTATTCTGAATATTCAACAGAAAACAACTACTTGTGTTCATTATTATATCTGAGAATATTCCTTTTCAATACTTACATAAAATCAAGGGGTTTAAACTTGAACGACAACTTGTTATTTTTATAGACTTCAATCGCAGATTCGTGATTAGGTTTCTCAATTCAGAAGTTTTTTTCAACGTCCTATATTATGAATATCAATTTATCATGTACAACCAAAAAAAATATGAGGTATGCGATATAACATATAAGGAACTTTAGACCAGTGAATATACTGGTTAGTCACCGATATTATTCAATGGTGTGAAAAATGGCTATCGTTCTGCTTGAGAAAGTACACAGTCGTGGACAAATAATTAATATAACAGGTATCTTCAATTTTCAGTATTTTTTATGTCAAATGAGTAATTTATTTATTCATTTATTTATTTATTGAATATACATCCAGCAGGCCTAAGCCCAATTATAGGAGTACTTAATATAGATTACAACATGTGGTTGAAAAGATAATGATAATCATAGTAACAATAGTTAAATAGTCAGTAGTTAAAATAATAATGATATTAATAATAATGAAGATAATAATAATAATCATGAAAAATATAATAATAGTAAAAAATAATACATTCATTAGTTAGTCAGAGAGTCAATTGGAAATGGTATAATGGCATAATGGCATATAATGAGCTATCATTCACTCAGGTTAATGATGCCACTCGCCACGCTGGTTACATAAACTTAACCTTCGTGAATAATAGCCCTTTTTATATGCTTGTTGAATAATATGCTATTACCTACTACCAACATGTAATGTGAAACATTACGACATTGATTTTAGTATCGTGATGAGATACTTCACCGCACTAGTGAAGTGAAAAAAATATATTTTCAAGTTTCATTTTTACTCACAAAAAGAAATAAGAACCAATTTATCCTGAATATAGCAGGTACTATAGTTTATATAGATTGCTGCATTCGCCGCAATTTCTATATCGGAATCTAAACTTTCTTGATCCGGATTCATGCCGATAAATTTTTTTTCGAATTGAAATTAACGCGTCAAAGTTGACAGTTCGCCGAACGAGTGACAACCGAGAACACAATAAATTCACGACAACAATATTCTCAAACTGTCAGTTCAAGGGATATTGAATATTTTTGATTAAATGTTTAGATTTTCGGTAGTAGATAAAATATTGTACTATATTCGTATCGTAAAATGAGTCTTTACGTTACTCGTATCGTAAATATTTATTCCGTACGAATCTACGTTTCTGAGCAACCATCATCAACTTCACCTAATGATAAACATCCTTATCTTGGACACACTGTATATTGAATGTTTCAGAATCTTTTGGTCACACTTTTGAGTAAGCATCATCAAAACATTATTACAATATAACAATACTTTGATGAGGTTATTGAGATTCTTTCAATATTATGCAAATGCTGATGGCATCTCTATACGAATAATTCATTTTCTATTCATAATATTGTACATAAGTAATATCTACAATTACACATCATATGAAGCGATCGTCGACGAGATGTGAACTGACTTGAAGGAGTTCTTATAGCAATGTAACTAAAGTTGGCGAATAAAGCTTCATGTTGTAGAGGAACGTATATATACGCCAGTCAAAATCGACACAAAAAATCGCTAAATTCGCAAAACATGATGTATCTCTGATTTTTTAGTATGTTGTTTGGACCCATTAGGGTAGTGTATACCCAAGTTTGCAACTCTCAAAAAGTTGTGAAAAAAGTGTAGCACACGAAAAACTGCGGAATTTTCGGACATTCTTCAGTTTTTGTTCTATACCTCCTAAACTATGCATTTTTCGACAAACAATGCGATTTATGTTTTTGAAGAGAATCGAATGGTCAACAATTTGAATCAAAACAAAGCAAAGTTCTGTAGGTTGATTATCAACGGAACTACGGTACTCTGAATGTAGCCAATTTTTTTCAGAAAGTGAAAGTTTCAGTTCTGGATCTGCTTTAGACCGGAATTGCGGCAAAACTATTGATACTACAGGTAAAACTCATGAAATAAAAAATGTTTAAAACTTCATCAACTTCAAATTGAGTACACAGTGGGGTCTGTAGGCCTTGTCATTCTCTCAAAATCTCGAAAAACCCTACATAACATAATATCGCATATTTTCCAGATATCTACCAAATCACTGTTTTGTTGCAGATAGTGAGTTTTGAACATTCACCAATTTCGAAGATTTGGGTCGAAGCAGAACTCCAAATTGAATAAATTGTAGGTAGGTACCAATTTCATAAGTCAATGTATGATGGCGCCCGAAAGAGCACAAAATTTGCAGAGCGATCACGACGGTATTCTGCATCAGCATCAGTGGAAATTGTATTTAACGCATCAACCATCATCACAGTCCCCCAAGAGAAGATGCTCTCGAATGACAAAAATAAATTTCGTCTCATTGACCATCTCTTTTCTGCTTTTGCTCTCAAGAGGATTGAGACAAAAATAGCAGAAGAAGACGAGGACCGCGATATCGTTGTGACTGCTCTGCAAAAAAGTACATCCAATGACCACGTCATCATCGTTGGAGAGGATGTTGATCTACTCGTGCTCCTCTGCGGTCTAGGATCCACTATATCGAACGTCTACTTCCAGAAGAGTAGCAGAGGTGAGGCGGGTTGCATCCAGTTTTCCAGCAGCTCGTTCAACCGAGGAGAAGTAGAGGTGCCATCTGGATTTGAGCTGTTCGTCCATGCATTCACTGGGTGCGACACCACCTCTGTCCTGTTCTGGCAGTGGAAGATGAAAATGTGGAGACACTTCAAACAGAATCAAGCCTTAGAAGACCAAGCAAAAGTTTTCCTCCAGCCAGATGCCACACACAGAGAAGTCGCAACAGCTGGCGACAAGTGCCTAGTTGCCCTATATGGAGGAGATGAGACGACAGACACCCTCAACGATGTACGCTTCCGTACTTTCGTGAAGACAGCGGCCAACGCCAAAGCGAATCTGGCGGGTTTGCAACCAACCACAGAAGCTGCGTCGTATCATCACTATCGCACCACCACCTATAAATACCACCAGGTGCAAAAGTGGCTTTAGGGATGGAGAAAGATGCCGCCGACTGGGGTTGGGCATTGAGTTCGGCTGGACTCATCCCCATTACCAGTCGAAATGCCCTTGAGTGAGGGTTGCTGGGCTGTGTGCTCGTGAATATATACGAAAGAAGGGAAGATTTGTATTTCGTGCAAGATAATTTATTCAATATTCGACGCAGAGCGCTTTCGACTGTTAAGTCATCAGCCCTTGCCCCACCAGACCTCCTGAAACTCCTTTCTTGCAAATGCAAGAAGGGATGCAGAGGTGGCTGCACTTGCCTAAAAGCGGGGCTCAAATGTTCTGTGATGTGTGCTACCTGCTCTGGGGAAACGTGCCAGAATGCTGCCCTTATCATCATCGAAGAGGATGACGATGACGAGACTCAAGAGAACCCTAACGAGCCTCAAGACAACCATGACGCTCCCCCAATGATGGCGTACTCACCTATGGAGGAGGACGACGACGACGATCCACCTATAGTGGGGGACCTACCCGTCGAGGAGTCCATCGAAAGTGACGGCCCAGGGCCATCAAAAACAAGGAGACGATTTTGACTATGTTTGATTGGATGATTGATCACTGTCATTTTGATAAGTAATGTTCATATCAAAATACATTTCATAATAGTTATTTATGTAATAAGGATCATAAAGACGATCATTATGGTACAAGTCGTGAATGTTATCACGGCGTGTGCCATAATGATTGTTTATGATTCGTATTACATACAAAATTTTATCTGATGGCATTTATATCAATACATTTTCGAAAAATTAAAAACTGCATTTTCGACATGTCACAATGACAACTATTTTTAAAGGAGTAAGTATTGTGTAGTTTCAAATATTAGTAGGTGAGTGAGCTGTGCTTTGCCATTACATTAATATTACAAATTGTAGTAATTGTTCTTTTACCATTTATAATAAATAGTTTTGTACATAGTTATGCATTTTGAATAAACTTTTTTGTTCAAACCATTACATGTTTTCCTTATAGAATTTCATTATGGTACTTAGTCCCATAATGAGCTTCCTTATGTCATCAAAATTGAGTGACATAACGTTGTCATTATGACATGCCATCAGATAATTTTTTTTTCTATTATCACATCAAGAAACAAAAGATAGGAAAGGTTTTGGAACATTTATGGCGATATGCGATTCAATCTGATATTGGCTTTTTCGATATTTTGAGAGAATTACGAGGCCCAAAGACCCCGCTATGAGCTTAATTTGAAGCTGATAGAATGGCCTACAACTTTTAATCTATAAGTTCAACTCGTAGTATTATTGGTTTAGCCGCAATTTTGTTCTAAAGTAGGTCCAGAACTGGAAATTTCACTTTCTGAAAAAAATTGCCTAAATTCAAAGTACCGTAGTTTCGTTAATGATCAACCTACAGAGCTTTGCTTGGATCAAAATTGTTGAACATTCAATGTTCTTCAAAAACGTATGAAACATTTTTTTTTTCGAAAAATGTATAGTTTAGGAGGTATAGATCAAAAGCTGAAGAAAGTCCGAAAATTTCGCAGTTTTTCATGTGCTACACTTTTTCCACAACTTTTTGAGAGTTGCAAACTTGGGTATACACAACCCTAATGGGTTCAAACAACATACTAGAAAATCAGAGTTACATCATGTTTTGTTTATTTATTGTCGATTTTGACTGGCGTAATATGTCGGCGTCAATAAGTGAAATCCGTCATTCCCTGAAATGCCTAGTCATCTCACGTATTGTCGTTACTCTATTTGCCTCAGGGTTGAGGTTTCTGCATATGCATAAGAAGGGAGATTATTTTTCTTCCTACAAAGTAGATTTTTCAGAAAATTACTTGAGAGAACAGAAGAGACTACTGCCTCTAAACAACCTAAGCTGATTCGACCTAAATGAACCTTCCTTCCTTCCGTCATTACAGGGAATACCTGAAACTATTAGGCAAACGGTGTACGAAATCCAGAGTTACGCTGTTTGTTGGCGATACATGAAATGACTATAGGCCGGCATATACATCGCGAACTCAATTTCGAAAAATAAACGAAGATGAGTTACGAAAAACCACTGGTTGTCTTAGTCTGTCGGGCAGAAGGAAATATATGAATTTATTGGGACATCATTGAAACCACCAGAATTATACGTCAATATGCTCTAATAAAATACGACGTCATTTCTTGGTCACATTTTGTTCAGATAGTGTACCAAGAATAACGAGAAACCAACGTGGAAAACGTTCTGTTAGGTTACTCTGCTTAACTCGGAATTTATTTTTTTGATCTCAGGTCAAGGGAATATGTCAACCAGATCAAGGTCCACATGGTGAAATTGAGAAAAGTTCGTGCCAGTATAACCTGGATAAACGAGGAGCAACGATGCCTTGGTTTCAATGTATCTCCATTCAAAGAAGTTGGCGAAGTAGAAAACTATGTGTATCCTTTCTTCCACTTGCTCAAAGTTTGCTTGAATATTCAGAGGCATATGAATGTATGGCTGGATGGTCAATTTGAGTTTTTGGATTTTGAAGAGACGGAAAAAATAGTAGACGATTACATGAAGGAACTATTGAAGATCCAAAAAACATATCGTATCAAGCTGAGGTGAGCGATCCTGTTTTCCATAACAAAATAATATAATATTTTATGGAAATCATATTCAAATCATTCTAGTGATAAGATGATGATATCATAAATGTTTAAACGATTGAGGATGACATCTTTTCCAACACTTCATCCAACCATCACTATCCTTCTCAAATTGTGAACTGGTATTCCACTACAAAGATAGTTTTTTAAATTCATTTCATTTCATCAACTAGGTATACGATTGGGAATGATCAATCTTAGGAATAGATATTTCATAACCAATTAGTAACTCAAAATTCAGATTGAACACATTCAAATCTAGAAAAATCAAGTGTTTGCGAGTGTATTGATAGCTACCTATAACATGATCGTGGCATTCACAATTTTTTCTGCTACCAATCTAATATATAAAATCCTTCTGTCCCAGTCACGGTGTTGGTGGCCAAACTTCTGAAACAGCTCGACCGATTCGGATGAAGATTTTTGTGCGTTTTCGGTTGGTATGAGATGGCGGATCCAATATGGCCGACGAGTTTTGTGATCCAAGTACATTCGGAATAGGTATCTGGGGATTGTCGAGGTCGGAGATTATGATTTAATCGTCATAAATAGGAAATTCAAAATGACGGATCCAATATGGCTAACGAAATTTTCAATTATTGTCCGATTCTATTCAAAATTGATATCTGGGGGTTTTTGGAGTCAGAGGTTATGACTCTAGCGTCAAAATTTGGGAATTCAAGATCGCGGATCCAATATGGCGGACAATTTGTTTAATTATCATCAGATTCCACTCATAATTCGTATCTGGATGTTTCTGGGGACGCAGATTATGAATATTTCGTCAAAATTCGGAAATTCAAGATGGCGGATTCAATATGGTGGACGAGTTTTCTGATTATGATCTCTCCGATTCTATTCAAAATTGGTATCTGAGGGTTTTTGGGGTCGGAGATTATAATTCTCTCGTCGAAATTAGAATTTCAAGATAGCGGATCCAATATGGCGGACGAGCTTTGTAACTATGATTCGATTCCATTCAACATTTGTGTCTGGGGGATTTGGGGTTCGGAGATTATGATTCTTTCATCAAAATCAAGGAATTAAAGAAGAAGGATCCAATTTGGCGGACGAGTTTTGTAATTATGATCCGGTTCATATCAAAATTTGTATCTGGTAGTTATCAGGGTCAGAGATTATGATTTTATTCTTCAAAATTGGAAAATTCAAGATAGCGGATCCAATATGGCGAGAGGGCTTTGTAATGAATAGTAGTTTGAAGAACTCCAATGCAACACGCTTTTATGGATAGCCATCAAACTCGAGGCCCACCTGAATAGAAGTAGAAGATTGATAGTATAGTTTAAAAAACGTGATAGCTTGTTGAACTAAAAAGAAGTAGAAAATAAAAATAGTAGTTCAAAATATCAATGGAATACCATTTTATGGATAGCCAAACTAGGGAGAAGTTCGGGAATAAAGAGTAGTTCGAAAAAATGGAGAGATATAGAGTGCTGAACTAGAAAGAAGTAAAAAATTAATGAGATTGTTCGAAAAACTAAAGAATTCCACTTTCATGGATAGCCAAACTAAAAAGACGTAGAAATAAAATAATGACAGTTTTTGATGAATATGTATCTAAAAGAGGTTTTCCTCTAGAAATTATGTTCATGGCAAAGCAACGTTTGCCGAGTCAGCTAGTAAATAATAATATAAGAACATACTTTACTTTCAAACTATGTATATTCGAAGATATTTCAACGTCTCCAATCCATCAATTGCCAAATAGTTATCAATACTTTGGTTCAATGTTTGATGTGCTTCAAACTACGAATATTTGATTCTCATTATTGTTCTGTAGACAAGCCCAAGCTGAAAACACCCGTCTTCGATTCTTCGGAGTTGTAGATGATCCAGACTTGTTCAGTTGGCCGGCACCTCTGAAGTTGACAGCACTGGCAATACAGGCACTGAAAGATTTTCGGCCAGCAATGACTTTGATGAGGATCATGTGCAACGATGCTCTGATGAAGAGACACTGGAAAGACATGTCGGACATTGCTGGCTTCGACCTCACTCCTAATGCAGGAACAACTCTGAGAAAGATCACAATGATGGGTGAGCTAGAAAAATATATAGAGTTGCAAGAAAAAAAGGGGATTTTGTGTACTCAGATCAGATTGCGTTTGGTTATTTTGAGAGACGATCGAAAAAGATGAATTTCCAATTTCATATTTTTTATATTCGTTCAGAAAGCATCATTGAACTTCCCCTCAGGGGCTCACAACTTGTGAGTATGGAAATAGTGAACCCGAGGTACCCTAGCCGGATATTCACCATACTTCAACTTGTCTTGGGTGATATCCTCTTCTCTCTTTCTTTTTCAATCTATCTATCTGCCTTTCTTGGCCAACTCCTATTTTACTCCTCCCCTTCAAGCCCAACCTCACCATCAAGTGGTGTGGGGAGGACAGACCGCGGCCGCTCGAAGGATGGAGCATTTTGGGACCATCTTTGCTATCTCCGGGCTAGATGGGACAATTTGTGGACATCTTTGGCAGGGATGGGGCGATTTGCTGATGTCAGTCTGGGTGGCCGAGGACAGGTCAATGAGGCTCTGGCAACCTAATCCAAGCTGTGGGAACCCGTGGTGATGGATGAATGACACCGAGGTATGGTGTCGCTAACGATGCCTTGGGAAACAGGGCGTCATCTCAGAGTAAGTAGCCTTAGCCCTGTGCAGGGGGCACCACAGGGCCTGATCAACCCCTTCCCTTGGTACTCGTAGGAGAAGGAAAACTTTTGGCCTTCTTCGTAGACGAGAACAGAGATCGGAAGAGTAATCTTCAGGAACCTGAACGAAAAGGGTCTTTCATATTGAAGTGACCCTTAATAAGCACCATGAGTCGTATATGGTTAAATTGATAACGGCATGTAGGTAAGATACAATGGGCCACTAGGCCTAAGTGTCGTCGGTGACTTCGGTCAGACGAGCCTAAAAACGGAGTGTTTAGTGGGTATACCTGGAGTCAGGGGACTCCCACACTACCATAAATATGTGGGATTGGACTCATATGGTGTCCATGAAGGATTTCAACCACCTCGATGGAAAATCGTCGAACTTCAGAACTTGCTAGAGTAGCTGAAACTTTTTAGTAACACTGTATATATTTACTACAATCTCTCATACTCTCGAATACTAAATGATACACGGAGTCATCTCCACGACATTCAATGTGATTAACACATCATTCAAAATTTGTGCTACATGTTTCGGGCATATATATGTCCATCCTCAGCCTTATTTCAATAAAATGCACAGTCATAATTTTTTTCAAATGAGGATGAGGATGAACATGTGAAGTGAGGACGTAAAAAGTCTTCCCCCGCCTTTAACTTTTGAACGGAACAAGGTACCTTCTTCACTACTTTTAGGAATGAAAATGGTTGTGGTCACGTGGCTCAGTCTCAAGTGGGCACCATCAACTTTTTTTTTCAAATGTAAAGAGGAGTCACGTGGTACCTTGTTTTCAAGGCCTTTCGATTCTCCATCCAAAACCGCTTCGTTCATGATGTGATGCCAAGCCGTTTCAAAATGACAAGCGTTCGAAACAGTATCTAAATAACGTTCGTATTGGATTCCAAAACCGATTTTCTCAGTGTCAATAAGTGAATAGTGAACAGTCCGAGCATTTTTGAGTATTACCTATACATGTTACAATTTCTACTCGAAATTTTTTTTTGCAATCAGAAGGTATTAGGGTTTTTCATCAATTAATAACAATATTTGAAGCAAATTTAAAATGCCTATCATTTTGCAACGGCTTGGCCCATTTGCCCAAACAGGCGGTGTTGGATAGAGTCGAAAGGCCTTCAAAACAAGGTACCACGTAACCCCTCTTAACATTTGAAAAAAAAAGTTGATGATGCCCAGTAACACTACGCCACGTGACCACAACCATGTGGAAATTTCACTGAATGGATAATGACAGTAACGCTGTCAATCCGAAAATTACAAACTAATTTGTGCTTTGAATGTCATCACAACAATTAATGTTTCCCACATCATCAATCCAAGTCTACATATAGAGGAATTGTTACAACAACCGATGTTTATTTCTCAATATTTCTCCATTTTCTGATTTTCACAATAAATAGTGGAATTTGATGGATGATTTTGAACAATCATACTTAATACTGAAACAAACGAGCTGAAACTTTCATATTCCATCACATACCACTTATATTTCACGATGATATCATATTGTTTTTTCCACATTAGTGCGGGAAAATGATACTTCCCAAAAGATTATGCGTCCCGCACGCTTGAAGAAATAGTACATTATATACCGCGGGACTGAAGTAGTACATTTAATCCTGAAGGTAAAGTTTATGGCCCGACCGCAGGGAGGGCCATAATTTACCTGAAGGATTAAATGTACTTCAGTCGCAAGGTATATACGATACTTTTCGTACTTCCGGTATGATTTTATTAATTATTTCAATAATTTCAATCAGTTTTTTCTCTCTTCAACTCATTTAATAAACTGTCTTTAAAATAAGTTACCATAGTAACATTGCGTTGTGACAGTTATAATTTAGAAACATTGTCATTACTAGTGTCATTGTAAAGAAACATTGTTATTGATAATTATTGGTATCATGAGTGAAGAAGGTGTATCTGATATTGATAAAAGAGCAGCCGAAGTAGGTGAAGAATTGTTACCACCGAAATCTAGAAAACTATACGAGCAGCAGTACGATGCTTTTAAAAAGTGAGGCCGCTTAAAAAATGTGAGACAACCTACTGAAAATGCGCTGTTAGTCTACTTCGATGATAAATCAAAAGCGGTTTGTGCCTCAACTCTCTGGGCACATTACTCAATGCTGAAATCGGTTATTAACATTAGAGAAGATATTGATATAAGTAAATTTCCAAAATTATTAGCTTTTTTGAAGAGAAGAAATGAGGGATTTAAGCCAAAGAAGTCAAGAATTCTCACGTCTGAGCAGGTAGATCAGTTCTTACGGGAGGCTCCGGATGATAAATATTTAATGCTTAAGGTAAATTTGGAAATTTGTTTATATTCAGAAATTTTAAGAAATCAATTTTTTTGTAGGTTGCACTTATTTTGGGCGTTGCGGGAGCTTGTCGTGGAAAAGAGTTGGTTGATTTAGAAATCGACGATGTGAGAGATTTGGGCGATTCCTTCCTAATTGCGATTAGAAACACCAAAAATAAAATTGACCGAAATTTTGTGATCAAAAATTCAGAAAACAGTGCCATCAGTTTTGTGGCGATATTTCGGAAATATGTGGCATTGCGAAAGACAGGGACAACTCATTCAAAATTTTTTGTTCAACACATCAACAAAGAATGTACTACGCGAGTAGTAGGAAAAAACATGTTTGGTACATTTCCACGGCAAATAGCAGCTTTCTTGAAATTAGAAAATGCGACGTCTTATACGGGACATTGTTTTAGACGCACATCTGCGTCTTTGTTAGCTGATTCGGGAGCAACAATAGACGTGCTGAAGAGACATGGAGGATGGAAATCCTCCAACGTGGCCGAGGGATATATTGAATCGTCTATTAAAAATAAACAAAAAATTTCAGATAAAATATTTGGTCAAGTCGCCGATTCGTCCACTATAGTTATGCCACAGTCCTCATTCTCGCTTCCTGTTTCCGCAGGATCTTCGAAACAAACACCAGTTCAATATGAAAAGGACCTATCTGTTACTCGTCAGTTACCTGCTGCATTAACCCAGGAAAGACTGGTCAATATGACGAACTGTCACAATATTAATTTGAATATTAACGTTAATTACCATTCTAATTAATTATATTTTTCAATAAAATATCCCTTAAATTCGTTTGTTTGTGATTTAATCGTTCCGGGAGTTTCGTCAATATTTAATCCCGGAGGGATTAAATGTGACACTTTAGTACCTGTCACAAGGGAGTGAAGTTGTCACTTTAGGCCCGGAAGTACGAAAAAACTTTTACATTGACAAACGAGTCAAATAACCAAGTATTTTTCATTTGTTTAGGTATTTATTGGAATCATAGATGCAACATTTTTCGCAATTTATGATTAGTTTTTGTGAAAGAAAAATTGTATTATCCTCATATTGAAAGTGGTTTTATTTTGTGAAATTGCTTCACTCGCTGTTGCTCACAGACTGAAACGCCTGTTCTTCACATGTCTTTGATTTCATAGCTACTTTGAGTAATCGATTGTTATTAACTTCCAAATATTACAGTTTGAAAAAAATAATGAATACATTTTAATGAAATGATACAAAACTCTTGTTCAGAAGCTCTTCACGCAAAGACATATTTTATCAGTTCGAATGTTCACAATTTTATTCAATATTCAAGGCTTGGAACCTGATTTGGATAAGTACGATGTCATAAGCTCTGGAGCTACTAAAGAGCGTGAACTTTATAAGAACCTGACGAAAATGCAAGCAGAATGGGTAGATATTCTATTCAAAGTTAGTACTTTCAAAGAAACTGGTATACCTATCTTGACAGCACTAGATGACATTCAAGTAGTTCTTGATGACCATATCCTGAAGGCGCTCACTATGAGGGGTTCTATTTTCGTCAAACCCTATGAAACAGAAGTAAGAGCTTTTTATGACAAATTGGTGAGGATAAACAAGACTATAGATGAATGGGGAAAAGTGCAGAGTCAGTGGTTATACCTGTTACCAATTTTTTCCTCGAAAGATATCGTTGCACAGATGCCTGAAGAAGGAAATCTCTTCAAGGAGGTAAATATCAAACATTATATCAAGTATCAATAACGGTACGGACTATTCTTTAGTTAGAGACAATGTTCAAAAACTGATGTCTACAGTGTCATTCATGAAGTCGGCATCATGTGGAAAAAACTTTTAACAATAATTTATTTCGAAATTCGACTCTCGGTCACGTTACTTTCGCTACATGTCTAAAGTTACATGTTTTTAAATTAACCGCTGAAAATTGGTTTATTTGTTCGAATTTCGAAAGAGTATACCGGGAAAAGTTGTTTCTATTCCAAATGTACATGTGTTTCGAATGTGATCGTTCTATTATAAGGAATTCAATAGTTCCATTATCCTAAATTCTACAGGAAGATATCTCTAGGTCAACCAAGAATTAATAAAATCAATGTTTATGAGGTTCACCAAACTCAAGTAAATCGTTTTTCACACACTTATCAGCACAAAGTTATAATTGAAAATCGTCTCGATTGATAAAGAGTTATCGAATATAACACACTCCAGAGACTGCAAGGAGATAATAATTTACTTACCGATTGTGGCGACATGGAATGAAAATTTGAGAAAACGATGGACATTGTTATGTATGGCGAATATTTCCTTGGATAGGAACTATTATTATTCATATTTACAGGAAAAAATTCATGGATCAAAATGAAACATTCGTCATCAACTTCAATTTCAATGATTTTTGGTTGACATAGTGGAGACATTTTTCAGTGAAAGTTACAACTATGAAACTTCGTATCTAATCATTCGGAATATTCTCCATTGAATGACTACTTCACCAGTAATACCAAATTAAGAGGGTGTTGGCGGTAGAAATCGCACTCAGCGTATGTCAAAATTTCATTTTCATTGAATACTTTTGATGAAAGCTGTCGGTTATTCGAGACTATAATATGTCGTATGTCGTCAAATTGATATGTATAGGTATCAATGAATCCATCAGTTACCATTACCTTATAGCAGTAACACATCTTACTGTCATAGAAATAGATGAAACACCTAACAAGCAAAAATAGTCAAGGCCTAAAATGAATTTTATGTTTTAGGTGAATGATACATATAAGAGGTATATGGATGTGGTGACAAGAGATCCAAGAGTTTTCGAAATAGCTGGTGCAGTAGGGGTATTAGAGACTATGGAACACTGTATCGAGCTGTTAGATCAAATCAATGATGGTGTCACCAGTTATCTGGAAAAGAAGAGATTGTTCTTCCCAAGATTTTTTTTCCTCTCAAACGACGAAATGTTGGAGATACTTTCGGAAACTAAAGATCCTCTCAGGGTACAACCTCATTTGAAGAAATGCTTCGAGGCTATCGATACCTTGAATTTCAATGATAAATTAGAGATTCTGGCAATGTATAGTCAGGAAAATGAGAAAGTAAACTTCAAAAGTTTGGTTAATACAAAAGAAGCTGGTGGAAGTGTCGAAAAGTGGCTGGTACAAGTTGAAGACCAGATGATAATATCCGTTAGGGATCAAATCATCAAGAGTTTCAAAAATTACTTCATGCTACCACGAACCCAATGGGTACAGAGATGGCCTGGTCAGGTGGTACTATGCGTGTCGCAAATGCATTGGACACATAATGTACATCTAGCTCTATCTCGAGAAGAGAATATGACACTAGGGACATTTTCAGGTACGTCAATCGTATCTTCCATAATGTCTATTTCCTTCCTGATATACAATGCTTCTCTTTAATGTTCACTCCCTCCATCATTTATTTTTTGAACGAGTCGACTCAAAAAATTGAAACTTGATAAGTAATTTTCTTGAACATTTTTTCAAAGATAGATTATATGATATTTTACATAGCAAAGACATTATATCTTTCAATCAATTTGGCTTCAATTATACAACAGTCGATAATACTTCATGAATGATCTTATACCAGGAATTACTGCCTGATCATTCATGTCATTCCTACTAGAAACTTATTTATACTTTATATATTATTCGTATGAAATGTATCAATGAAGAAGAGAATGTAATGCAATAACTGAAATAAAATAAATGAAACCTGCAATATTACCAGAAACCTCGATATTTCATGTTACAAATACAATAATTGAATTGCTTGATGACAACATAGAAACTATAGGAATATTTCTAGATTTGAACTTTCGATACTCAAATTTTCTCATGACATTCTTCTTTGAAAACTTCGAAATTATGGAATAAAGGGTGAGAGTTTCGTCATATTGAAGAATTTTTTTCCTTATATTATTGACATATTGAAAACAGATATTGATGGACTTATTTCCTCATGAATGCAATATTTTTGACATTCCTCAATAAGTGGCTTGGAGAATCAGAATGATCGAAAGATTTCATTTAAAAAAAATATATAAAAATATCACTACCTGTGTATCGAAAAAGGAGGTCCTATATACGCATATTATTGTGTTTTACAAGAGATTTTCATCTTGAAATACTATCTTCCTTAAGCTGTCCTGCTACAGAAGACTCACTATTTTTATTGTTAATATGATGTCTAATGGAATATCACGAACAGACGATCATCAGTAACTGGTATGAGACTGTCCATAATCATTACTTCGATTCATTGATTTCTTCGAATCTCCTTCGGAATTCAGAATATTTTCAACAGCTCACTTCTTATTCTTTTATATTCTGCAATGAAAGTTGGCCCTGGGCATTCGTTTGCATATGTTTGCATTATACAGAGATGTTCTGGAGAGATATCATTATCTGTCAAAAATGTAATTTCTTCATTACAGCTTCCCTGAGAGATCAACTCAACGAAATTGTTACCCTGATTCGAGATCCAACTCTAACAAACTTGTCCAGAATAACAATCAAAGCTCTGATTGTTATTGACGTGCATGCCAAGGATGTTGTCGAGGATTTGTTCCAGAAAAATGTTGGCAGCGATAAAGAGTTCAAATGGCTGTCACAAATGAGATATTATTTGGAGGACGATGAAGCTCTAGTTCGATTAATCAATGCTACTGTCAAATATGCTTATGAATATCTGGGTAATGTCGATCATACGAGCAAATTTTTCATAATTCCACAATCTAAGATATCTTTCTCTACGACTATCCAGGGTGAGTCATGACTAACCAGCCATAGCCTAATGGTGAAGTAAGTCAAGGTGAGTTGATATTATATGCAAAGAAATAAATGTTGCCTATTCGTAACAGAAATACAGGGCTTCAGTTGAATTCGGGGCGAAATTTTGATAAACGATATTTCAGGAACGTCTCGATGTTATCGCCTGATATTCACCAGCAACCCACCTCTACTGACCCACCAAACGATGAATAAAATACCAGAGCCGGACTTGGAAAACTATTTTTTTTTATGTCATAAACTTTGAAATATATTAGGATTTACAGACGAACATTTTTTTTAAATTATAATGTGTTGTTATTCTTCCAAAAACCATGTCCGTACCTAATTTTTCTTCAACAATACTTTCACTCAACTCTGCTGCTATATCAATACCGAAAAAACTGATTCAAATACTAATGAAATTACAAATAAAACAATGAAGTGTATTTTCAATTTGAATTTTCTCGAACCAACCATGAATTTATACAAACCCAGAGATTTGTTAGATCTGACATCACTATATAAACTTAAAATATGTTGTTTCATTCAATTTGTTCTATATAAATTGAAAATTTCGAATTTAAATTTCAATGAAATCAATTCATTACATAATCATGGAACAAGACAATCAAATTTACTAATAGCAAATACGTTCAAGTCAAATATCGGCAAACAATCAATTTTTCACACAGGAATCGTTCTATACAACTCAATACCAAGTCAATTGAGGAATATACAGGAAGCAACTAGATCCAAAATTAACTTAAAAAAATATCTGCTTCACAGACTTTGATAATTCCATTTCCAATTTGAATACCTACTTATAAAAGACTAGGTTGATATTGCATGATTATTTGCATTTTTTTTTTACTTGTTATATCTTATTATAATTTCATAATTGTATGTATAACACTATGTATATTGTTTATGTATCCCTATTATAAACAACTATGTTTCTTGGGGGTAATAAAGACAATCAATCAATCAATCACTGTAGAGAGTAATGGCCCGGACGAAATCGAAGAAATATTCGTCTGGATTTTGTTTGATATTTTTTCACCAATCCGGTCGAAGTGTTCCGTACAAGTTAAAAAAGCTACACTTGTAGTATTTTTCCTGATCTTTCTGATTCTGACGGAAGTTTTTGAAAAATGCGATTCAAAAAGTCGAAATTTTCGACATATTAAAAAGAAAATGAGTTTCCCAAGTCCGGCTCTGGAATTTCTCTTCCGTAGTAGGCCATCGTGTGGTGTGTCAGTAGAGGGTCATTGCTGGTGAATTTCAGGTGAAAACATCAAGAAGTTCCTGAAATATCGTTCATCAAATTTTCTCCCCGAATTCGAATAATGTATTTCTGTTAGGAATAGGCAGAATATATTTTTTTACATATATATCAACTCAGCTCCACTTCCTCTATCCACCATTAGGCTATGGCTGGTTAGTCATGCCTCACCCTGTATAACACATAATAGCTCTTGTTTCATCGTGTTCGATACATCAATGAGGTACTTTTTGTATGTCATCAATTTCATTACCGTATCTGATATCACAATGACTTCAATGTGTTCTTATTTCAAAAAAATCACATCGCCCATGGAATGTCAAATTTCAACCAATGACAGTTCCAAGCATATACGTATTAATAAACAATACGGATCATAACGGGTGCCAGGATGAAGCCAAAAATATGAAACAAATGAATATCCATAAGGATTTGGTGGCATGATACGCATGCGCCATGCGCTATTATAGTAGTCATCAAAGACATGCGTTTCGGTGGACAATGACGTTTACTAGCCTTTCAATCAAAGCAGTATGTGTCTGATCGTTTCAAAACTTTTCCTTATGGATAGTCATTTGTCTTCAAAAATCGGCTTCATGTTTCGCTATGGAAACAGATAGAGATTATCCGTATTGATTATTAATACGTATATGGTTCCAAGCGATAAAAAAAAATCTAGTGCATCGTGATGACCAAAGTACTTCGCGCACGAATTGCAAACAAATTTTTTTTTACAAACGTCAAAAATTTTGTCCTATAAAGTAGTAATATGTTCAGCTTGATATCGTATCGTAGGGAACTGACAAAAAGTGTCAATTCGCAAATTGTTATCAAAGCGCGAACCTTGTCATTTTTTGACGTTTGTAGAAGAAAATTATAGTGTTAAATTCGCACGGAATGCTAATTTCCCACTCGTATGATCGCAACTTTTCATAAATAATTTAACGCAATTGTAAAAACTTCACAAACGATAAGATTTCCACAAAATTTTGTGGACAAGTTTTTACATTTGCCATGGATTTCCATCAAGTAACGGCCGATTAAATTCAAAATTTTAGGCAACTCGGATAGGCTGGTTATAACTCCTCTAACCGACAGATGCTATAGAACCCTGATAGGAGCGTACCACCTTCATCTCAATGGCGCTCCTGAAGGACCAGCCGGCACAGGAAAAACAGAAACCACCAAAGATCTCGCGAAAGCCCTAGCAGTCCAATGCGTAGTCTTCAACTGCTCAGACGGTCTCGACTACAAAGCCATGGGCAAATTCTTCAAAGGTCTCGCATCTTGCGGAGCCTGGGTATGCTTCGACGAATTCAACAGGATCGACATTGAAGTGCTGTCTGTGGTGGCGCAACAGATCCTCTCCATTGTTCAGGCAGTCAGAGCCCACGCTGCCAAGTTCAATTTCGAAGGAACCGAGATATCCTTGAACCCCACCTGCTACGTTTGCATCACCATGAATCCTGGATATGCAGGGAGATCGGAGCTGCCAGATAATTTGAAAGTGCTGTTCAGAACTGTGGCTATGATGGTGCCTGATTATGCGATGATCGGAGAGATTTCATTGTATTCCTATGGATTTAAGGATGCCAGGAATTTGTCTGTGAAGATCGTCACTGTGTATAGGCTGTGCTCAGAGCAACTGTCATCTCAAAACCACTACGATTATGGTAAATTCATTGTCGATCTAAATGAAAACCTAGTAGGCGACCTAGTACGCGAGGAGGTACAATATTGTCTGTTCTTTGAATCAAAATCTGTCGGCCTGTCAAGTGGCGCTGGCATCCTGAAAATGGAAAAAGCTCATTTGTTTATGTCAAAATAGACCATATTAGGTTGATATTGTCTTCTTCTATTTTTTTCCAATATGTTAATCAACCACAGATGTGCTTTCCATCATTGACGTGATATTCGATACAAAGGCGATGAAGAAGATTCTTTCATGAGATTGAGATGTCATAATCAAAAAATTATTTTCTGACAGTTGTCATTAACTTATAATTTCGTCTTTGTGAATATGTTGAACTTTGAATTCGTATTCTTGAAAATTACAATTATTCCTAATTGTTTCTTCTAGTATTAGTTTTCTATTGCAGTTTGTTGATTGGTTTGTGAGTGCGATTGTGTTATTTTGCAATGTTATCTGAAAACTTCGCACTCCAGGAGGTGGAGGTGTAAAATTATCAAGACCTGGTTTCTCCTATCCCCACTGTTGTGAATTTGAGCCTCAAATCCTGAGGCATCAATGAGTTTATGCCATATTCATTAGATTGCAAGGTGAAATTTTTTTCTTAAATCGTATAATATTTGAAACTTGATGCATTGATATTTCAGGAATGGGAGTTTTTGAAGTGAGCGAACATGATACTGTATGTTTCCAACATTTTAAGGGAACTGTTTCTTGCCAATGAAGAATTGGAAACGGTTTTGGAAGGAGGGTTCGGTTCCAAGTTTGTTTAAGGAAGGTATATATAAATAAAATGAAATTTAACAAGTTCCTACCTATACAAACTTTTTGTAGCAATCAGCTTATTAGTTTCTAGTTGACTAGAACTATAAGTTTCAGTATAAAAATTACCAAGAACTTGACTTTGGTACCTCTAAAAATTGTTCCAGTCAATTGTCATTGAATTCATTTCAGAATGGTTCAGAACATTGAAACTGGGGACAAAATAGATATCAAATATTTTTATAGTTTCAGACTCATCAATGTAGTTTGGAATATGATGCTGAAGAGAAACTCCTTCCTTAAGGAACACGACCTGAAGATGAGGAAGCATCTTAGGAGGAAACGGGCATTTGAACAGATATTATAGAATGATAATGAATAATAATAATGTTTATTCAAAATTTTGACAATATAAATTAAAAAGTTATACATATTGGTATTGAATATTCCTATGGTTTAATTTGTGGCAATTATAGACACATCTTCTCATATTTAGTGAAGTTAGTGGCTTCAATAAGATGATTTTATAAAAAATAATCATTGTTCAGCAAAACATATATTTAACCTAAATACTCACCTTTGGTACAATATATAATGTTTTCAAACTTACCTGTCAATAAATCTGTACAACAATAAACAGGGTATCAGAGGAGAACAAATTAGTAGAATTAAAATTGCAATAATTCTTCATAATTATATTCAATTTATTAAAAAAATATAATTGTATTGTCATTCCTACATATAAAAGTTATTTTCCAATAAAAAAAATTCTAAATATCCCAGCATCTTGATATTTTGAGTTTGGAGCAGAATATCCATAAAACATTGATGAAATAAACAGATTGAGTCTAACCTTATTGCTTCTATATATTCATTTCAGATGGGAAATTTTCCATTCTGTTCTCAAACATCATCATCCTTCTGGTACATTTCTTCTAAACATTACTCACATAATAATTCCTCATGCGATTCTTCCACATCAATCTGTTTGTATCACTCATAGTTTTTCGTTTTTCAACTGAAAAGCTATTCATGTAGGTACTCTGCGCTGTAGGTAGGTACCTGAAATTTTCAAGTATAGTGAATCCGATGTGTACATAGTTTACATAACTATAAAGACATGTTTTCACTGCAAATAACGGAATTTCATGAATTATATAGTAACTTATCAAAAATATAGAAGGAAATAAGCAGCCCCTACTTTTCTGCTTGGCTTGCATGTCGAAAAAGTGTGAAAGCACTGATGAGTTTCCGAAGTTTCCACAGTTCCAACTTAAATTCAAGTTGCATCATAAGTCAACCTAATACAGCATTGCCTAAACATCTCCCTGCTTCCATTCAAGTATAGGTAGATGGTTTTCATACTTGATAATATCTTTCATGATAATGTTTCATTTTTGGGTTTCAACATGACAGATTTTTATTTACAAACTTGACAGTACCATGAAAAATGTTTGGGTTAGGAATAAAAAAGGAATAACTTAGTTTACTTGGTTCACATTGATGTCTCTGTACTACTGAACGCCTTCATTTATTTTTTCAAAGAACAGACAATATTATGCTCTCGCCTACTAACTACCTAACTATATAGCTTTCCATTTAGATCGACAATGGTAAATTTCAATGATACTGTTGTGCCTTCAACGTCTACCTGTCTTTGATGATTGACTGGGTGTTTCTGAAATCGAAGCGATGAATGAAGTGTTGTATGAGCAGTGGCGTGATTGATATTTATCCCTGGAGGGGGTCTAGGTCCAATATACAATATTGGTGAAAAAGGAAAGCAATATCTTGATTTTAATGAGAGTGTGCATCATTTGGTAACAATAAGAAAGTAATGAAAAAAGTATTGAAAATTAAATCACATATCTACAGGTACAGGGTGGCTGGAATTTGCGCCTCATCATTAGGATTTCGTAAACCGTGAGAGATACAGGGTCAGTTGAAGTATATCAAAGTTTCGCAATTTTATGCCTCACAAAATGCCGTTTCGAAATTTGAAAAATTCGAAATACTTCCAACGATTTTTGGAAAAGAATTGCAAGATTTTCCAATTTCCCCCAACCGATTTCGTCGTGCCAAATCATCAACTTTTATTGAATCTAAACATTGCGGAAGTCATTGATACGTATTTCGATGAAACTGGCCATGCCAAAACCAAACAAAAATTTGATATATCCTAAACTGATTTCTTTTCAACAATAATGTATCCTTCAATTCCGTTTTGTACTTCCATCTCCTACTACTCACTTTGGAAATCCCTTCAATTTCAGACACACATCTTTATTTTTAAATCAAGTGAAATTATTTCACACTGCTGAAAATCTGGACACTTTATTCATATGACTCATACTAAGGTGATATACAGTGTGTCCAAGATAAGGAAGTCTATCATGGTGTTACAGTGATGATGGTTTCTCCGAAACGAAACGTCGTACAGAAACTCTCAACGCTGTTTTCTAGAGCTCAACAAGTGACAACGAAAAAGTGTCTGTTGTTTTTCTATATCTCTTGAAGTAACGTCAGAAAAAAACAGATCCCCATGAAAGACATAATTTTTTCCCCTACCGAATGAAGTTTGAAAAATGTTGAGGAAAAATGTATAAAAATGAATATTAACCCTTTACTTTTTTAACAAACCACCTATGACTCAACCTTTTCATCACCTGAAATCGAGTCTGAAACGGTACGACCACATCACATAACATCATTGGGATTGAAAACATATAATATAACAGTTAATGATGACTGCTTAGGTATGAGAATTGCTCCAGTTTCAATTACTTTGGAAAACAGTGAAAATAATATTCCATTCAATAAGATCACAACACACAAAGTGAAAAGTCATAATCAATTTAAAGCCGAACTATCACACTCAGTGCACTTCGATTCTTTTTTCAATAGCTTGATGTATGAGTCAAAATCATATGGCAATGTTCCTACAAAGTTTGAGCTTGCTTATCGATAGTATCATGCTTTCAAAATTTTCGAATAAACGAATAAAATATTGTTACTCCAGTTAAGTTATTCGACAAAGTCACTGATGTTAAGATTTCCAGGGTTCATTTATCCATGTCATCGATTTCTCCGTCAGGTGTATTTAGAATTTCATACTCCTATAGATCTATCGGTTGCGAGTAAATACCTACTTGAGAAGAAAAGGGTGATAATGTTGGAGCATTCAGAGGGTCTATAGCAAAGAGTTCATATCATTCCATAACAGAAATTGATGCTGGTGGCTATACTTGCAAAAATTTCCTCACAAAAATTTCTACCAACGGCCCAGTTTTCTAGAAATTGTCAAATCGTGTTCCAATGGTTTGATATTGCTCTAGAACTTCGCAGGCACTTTCTCAAATAGTGGAATGATGCACTTCCTTCGCATTCCTACATATATTATACCCTCTATAGTTGAGAATTTGATATTGGGCATGAAAACAAATGACTAGGGCAGCAATCATTTTCTATAGATAATTTAATATGTATTTATATTTCCGTCGCCGAAACCACTGACCCTATTGTCCAAAGTGTCAATTAAGGCACTCAACTGAAGGTCTCCTTAACTTGAATCATATCGTTATGTCCTTGGGAGGCAACTTGGATGTGATTTGAATATTTTCCCCAATAGCACGAATCTTGGTAGGATATTGGCTCCATATTTTCCCAATGGGGTCAATACTCAGCCAATATTCAGTGTTATTGGGGTTACCATTGTATATAGAGCTTTGCTTACATTTGTTATTTTTTTTCTTCTCAATAAAATATAATTCTTACTCACTAACAGGAATGAGAGCTGTGAAAACCGTACTTTCTGCAGCAGGAAATAATAAGAGAAAATTTCCTAACGAGAATGAGGACATTCTGCTGTTACGCGCCATATTGGACGTTAACCTTCCAAAATTTCTCAACCACGACCTACCACTATTCGACGGCATCATCAGTGATCTATTCCCCGGTATTGTACTCCCAAAGGCCGACTATGCCAGTATAACAAATGCCTTCATCGCCGCTTGTGAGAAACGAAAGCTGCAGCCTAAGGAGACATTCTTGACAAAAGTGATACAAACTTACGAGATGATGATCGTCAGACATGGGTTCATGTTGGTGGGATATCCGTTTGCAGGAAAGACTTCTACCCTCAAAGTATTAGCTGATGTACTGACTTTACTCAATAAACAAGGTGACCATATGCAAGTTATAAAAAAAATATAAATTTTAGCTCAGAAGTACAGTCGTATTCAATGAAACAGCGTACCAGTATTGAGAAGAGAGGATTCCGGGATCCTAGTTCTAGTTGTGTAAAATTGGCTCAGCCAATACTTTGTGTTTTCGTGAACTTGTGACAACTTTACTATCAACATTTGGTGAACAATCATTCCCGATAGCCCGTTTTATGCAGAATAGGATGACGTTATTTCCTCTGTGTAATATAATTGTACGCTGTTTTCTTGAATGCGACTGTGAATAATTTTGTACAAATCCAAGGAAAATAATGACATGAACATTAGAGAAACTTCATTTCGCGCGTTGAAAAAATCTGTTGCTCTCGGACAAATCCTTTTGATTTTTTATCTCGGTATATAATATATACGGGATGTTGGAAAAGAACATTTAGGGCTTCGCGAGACCAACACCAAAACCAGGACCAAGACTGACCTTAATGATTGAATAAGTACTATGCAGTCGGTTTTATGACAGATTCATGTCCTTTTTGGTGATGTATCATATGAATTATGTATTCTCAAAGTCATTTCCACACAATGTTCATAAAATGAACAACAATGGTAGATTTCGGGAGAAAAACAGCTACTTTCCTGACTAATGCCACGCAGAACATTGAATTACATTCTCCTGAAATCTATGCATCGACTCGTATAAACGAATTCTGATATAAGTGATTCTTTCCTCAATAATCTTCTCATTCTTATATGTGCGATGATTGAATCAATAATAATAATTATTACTGGGCTAAATAAAAACTACCCCTTTCATAAACATGAACAATAACATCCTTACGTTATATAGTTCAGTGATGACAACAGATACTAGCGTCTATTGGCAGGGCGCATTTTTTGAGCCAATTATACAGAAGATTTCCGGCCGTGAGCTATCTTCTTGAAAATTCATAAAAAATTAACACAATGGAAGTATGTAGAATTACTTCGACTCCTGAAATAATATTCATATCTTTTTCTCAAATCGGTGAAAAAATGATCCATACCTAAATACAACTCGATCGTCCCTCAAATCTTATCCAATAATTTTTCATTTTCATCACTCAAACTTTTTTATTTGTAGCAAAATCATTCGAACAAACCGAATTTGAATAAACCACTCGTCCCACCACACGTGATTTTATCAATAGGTTGGTTTTCATATTGTTGCAAAATGAAAAAGTTTTCGCAAAGAAATAAAAAACTTATTGATAATATTTTGAGGACTCGAGGTATTACCTTCGATAATTTGTGTGAGAAATGCAATGATGGGTGTACACATTTAATGAAATTATTGCTCATCTCTAACTTCAATGCATGCACTCACCTGAATCTATGATGATTCAAATATGTACTCGATTTAGAAAAAGTACTATACCATCGACGATACTCATGAGATTTGTATTTCGTGTAAAAATATGTTTGAGGGCTTTCCTACACATGAAGCCATTTCTCCGGAAAACAAATAGTTAAATTTACAACCATATATGTAATGTTGTCATTACTAACGTCATTGAAGGTTGGGAAGTGTCACATTACACACCTCTACTTCCCATCCTCACTTCCTGCCCTCACTACTTCTCGCCCTCACTTCGCGCCCTCACTTCATTCTTGAATTTTATGTATGTTCAGAAAGAAAAAGAGATTTATTAATTTTAATTCAAATGTGATGGTTATAATAGTATAAATACCTTGGTAGGATGTTTCATTCCTGTCCCCTGATTATGGCTAACCTCGACGCTGGATGAATCACTTCCCACCTCGGTGTGTAATATACTATTCTTCAAGGTCTTGGCGAGCAAAAAGTGCAGTACCTGATTCTGAACCCTAAAGCCATAACCATGGGCCAACTTTATGGTCAATTCGATCCCATCTCCTACGAATGGTTCGATGGGGTAGTAGCAACCGGCTTCAGAGATTTCGCCACGAACCCCTCTCCAGATAGGAAGTGGATAATATTCGATGGACCAGTGGACGCCGTGTGGATAGAAAATATGAACAGCGTGCTGGACGATAATAAGAAGTTATGTTTGATGTCGGGAGAAGTAATGTCTATGACGAACTCGATGTCGCTCATCTTCGAAGTCATGGACTTAGAACAAGCTTCACCAGCAACTGTAAGATATTCTATCAATAATTATTCTTCTCGACAAACTCACTTACTTCTTCTGCGGTATTTCCCTGTCTTCTGTTTCATATGAATCTTCGAATAGCCAACATCATTTTAAGAAAGGAAGTTACATTTTTTATTTTTTTTATTTATTTCAGTTATTGCATTACATTCTCTTCTTCATTGAGACATTTCATACAAATAATATATAAAGTATAATTAATTTTCTAGTAGGAATGACATGAATGATCAGACAGTAATTCCTGGTATAAGATCATTCATGAAGTATTATCGACTGTTGTATAATTGAAATTACAAATAGTGAACAAAACTTACATATCATTAAGATACAGTCATATTATAGTGAACAAGAAGGGAAAAAATAAAAACAGTGAAAAAAAAAGAGAAAAGGAAATTCATAGTCTTTCAGCTTTGATCATTCCTTTGCATATAAATATATTTCTCAACTTTATTTTTGAATTGCATAATATTTGGGCTGTTTTTGATATCATCTGGTAATTTATTGAATTTCGAAATCGCCTTATGTGTAAACTTTTTTTGCCCAAGTTTAGAATTTGCAGCTTCATTGAACACACATTGTGTCTAAAATGGTGCATTTGAAAAAACTATAATTTATTCCCTATATGTTGAACTCACGAAGAACCAAAAATGTAATTGATCTGCGAATCAATGTATAAAACATGGAATAGAGGCTTCAGAATTGACCAATGCATATCGATTGATCATTTGCATCCTGTAATGTTCAAAGAAAAATGAAGTATTGAAAAGAACTAGAATATCTTGGTATCTGGATTGATGAGAAATTGAATTGGGAAAAGCATATAGAGGTTTTGATAAAAAACATATCTCCAATCATTGGAGCTTTGAGAATATGTCCTAATGTTGATGAAAAAAATCATAAACATATAGTGCATCATTCTCATATACTCAGTCGTATTACCTATATGATAAACATATATGTGGAGATCTTGTTCTAAAAATTATTTCATCAAAATGTCTGCACTTCATAAGACATCTCAGAGAGTATTGTTACGATATTTGGGTGCAGAAGCGAACACGACACTATATATTTTCGAACTGATTAATTTGAACTGAAGAAATACTAATTTATATCGAACTTAACTACTATTTATGTAAAACGATTTATATCACGCGGTATATAACTGTCGCTCTGATACTCGCTGCTTGACTGAGTATGACGGCAGTTGTCCGGCCGTTTATATATGAGATCCCTTGGTAGGCTTTGCTTCTCGAATGTTCTCGAATGATCTTCCGTACCCTTCTTCTCTTGTTCTAGAAGCTTCTTAGATCAATACCTCTATCCCTGATTGTTTCATCGATTGTTTCCAGAACTTTCCAGAATCTTCTGTCATGTTATTTGTCACCTCGGCATATATTGAGCGTGTGTGTGTGAGTGATTTGCATATCATTGGGAGGTTGGAAAACAATCTGGGATGCGTGTTACAGGATGATCGTTGTACTCCTGTCTTCCTGATGATGTTTCTAGAGCCCCTCTAAGGATAATATCATTACAGTATTGTATCGCCTCTCATTTGATATCCCAACAAATGAGCTGTATGTGATAACAAAACAATACTCTGAAAGTTTCATATAAAATCATAAACAATAATATGAAATCCAATTTCGTTTTGATAAGAAACTCAGAAATTCATAGTCATCACATGACACAATTACATTTTTTTCATCTTGATTCTGCTACTCCTATACTTGGCTAAAAATAATTCACCTCACGCTGCTTCAGCTGAATTCAATTAATTAGCACATAATATGAAAAATTGCAGATGTATTTCAAAGGTTAAAATTGCATTGAAAAACACATGAATTATCACGAAATGGATTCGCTAAAGTCATTAGATGACGCTGTGATGACATTGAAAACTACTGGAAAATATCCTGATCCCTGGCATAGATTGAAAGTTGAACTTGTTTTCCTGCAGTTTTCAATGTCATCAGATCGTCATCTAATGACCGTGGCGACCCGTTACCTTTTTTCCTGTTGACATTTTATGATTTGATCGATTCAGTATTTCTAATTTCCTCAGATTTTTGTTGTTTTCACCTTATGTTATTCAATTATTATTATTTATAATCAATTTCTTCAAGTACTGTCTGTAGGTTAATCGAAGAGGTGGTACATTCATTCCATTTGATTATTTTGAATTTTCACTCCTTTTTTCTATAAAATGAAAATATGGAGTATTATTTCAATATACAGGGTGTGATTCAATTGTTGGCTGAAAATATAGAATATGGTGTTAAAACTTTATTTTCTCATTTTTGATCAAAGAAACTTTCACAATGCAAGAAACAATCACGTTTATGATTACTTGTCAGAATAAGAACGCAACGTAATCTATTACATGTATCACACATGTATAACACATCAATAGGGCACTAGCCAATTAGTTTCAGAATAATTTTGTCATGCCACAAATGCAAGAAAAAAGTGTTTTGTCGGACGGAAAAAAAATCAGGACTATCAGGAGGTTAAATTGTTGCAAAATGAAAGAGGATTTTAGAAGAGAGTTTTATTTTCGGAAATTCAAGGGCGTACAACATTTTTTCACATCTCCAGGATACATATGAAACGGACGCCACTGGTGAAAAAAATTAGAAATATCCTGCATCAGAAAATGCCTATTGGTGCTTAGTAATAATATCAATAGTATAGTATTGAAGTTATATTGAGAAAACGAAGTTTTTCTTAAAATTTCACCACCCTATAGCTCTAAGGTTAAGAGGTTTAGGGCATATGTTCATTTAGACTTTTCTCATCCTCAAAATGAGCTAACGAACCATTTTCTTCATTTTTAGCCATCAATCAAATCACACCATGTAAATGTGAAGTAGGACAAATCGGATGATTTGCCCCAAAATGTCACTGCGTTTAACAACTTTTTTTATCAGGGAGCCTAAAAGAAAAATCAAATAGCTTGTCAGTCACACTTTGTTTGGAAAAATGTTTGAAGAGGAGATATCGATTTTTTCATTCTCTTCCGACGTTTTGAGAACGAATATGCTTCCGTTCGCAACATTGAAATACAAAAATATTTTTCTACGAAAGTTCATATAGTTTGACACTTCTCCATGACATACTGATGTTGGCATATGGATGAGTAATGATGTTAGTATACTCGCGATAGAAAATAAGCGTACGCCACCTATTGGAGTTCTTGAAATCTGTCGATGCGGCTTGTTTACTTTGTTCTCATTGGTTCACATTTGTTTTTTGTTTGTGCTTGTTGGTATATCATCAAAACAAACCGCTCAGACGTGTTCAAGTTGCTGCCGTCAGGTGGGGCGACGTGTGATTTTTTATTTTATTTATTTATTTATTGAACAGATAACTTCCAGACAGAATAGGCTCTGGTATAAGGAAGTACCAAATTATATACCTATAGGGAAACATAGCATCATTCAAAATATATCAACGACTGTAAATTGGCAAACAAAGAATAATATATGTAAAAAAAAAAAAAAATGGCATGATTAATTTTATCCAGTCCGCTGAGAAATATTCAGTTTTTTACTTCATTTCTGAATATACATATATATATTTCTGCAATTTTTTATATCATCAGGTAGTTTATTGAATTCAGTTAAGGCTGAATACGTATTTGTTATATCATACAATTGATTGGTTGGTGTATCAAATGGGAGACGAGATACAATACTTTTAACGATTTTCTATATAATGTTGATATTTTATTGAAATTATTTTTTGAACAAGATCCCCAAACATTAATTAAATAGTTGATACGACTCAGTATATGAGAGTAGAGAATCATGTTTGCAATTTAAATATCAAGTTTGGGACATCTTCTCAATGCACCAATAATTGGAGATATTTTTTTCGTCAGAACATCAATATGTTTGTCTCACTTCAACCTGTCATCAAACCAAATACCAAGATATTTTATCTGGTCAGTTTGTTTCAAGAGTTCATTTTTTATTTTAAGGTTGAGGTGAATTTTTTGTTCATTTTTTTGGTGAAAAATCATATATTCTGTTTTGTTAGTATTTATCGCGAATACGTATGATGTTTACATTAATTGACCTTGAAAATAACTAGTTTCATGAAAATTATTGACTGATTTGACTGAGTTTTCTGGAAGGTTTCTAGGTGCGGAATGGTATACATGGAACCAGCTACATTAGGCTGGGAACCGTTTCTACAATCCTGGATTCCCACTTGCAACCCAATTTGGTGTGGTGAGAGAAAAGATTTCATAATCGATTTGATCAACTGGCTTGTACCACCGTGTTTGACTTTCATGAGAAAGAAATGCATTCAGTATTGCAACCCTGGTGAAATCAGCTTAGTAAAAAACATGATGAACATGGCTGAGATGTATTTGAACGATGCATTTGCGGCGAGTAGTAAAAAAGAAGAAGAATTGAAATATACAGATGTATGGATACAAGCAAGTTTCATTCAAGCTGGTAGGTTTCTATTTACGCAAAAATTTGTTTCATCAGGAAATAAAGTGAATCGCATTATTAAGGTTGTCTGCCAAAACTGAGATTATCTTGCTCCAGTGCGATAAAAACCACTGATAACAAATGTGCGGAAATAATACAGGGTTTCCTTAAACGTGAGGCATTTACTCAAGAACAGAAATAACAATCAAAATAGTGAACATAAACTCCAAGTTGGTCGACCACAAAAATTAAAGGTGTAACTTCAGTTTCGGTCTAACGGCCATCGACAGACAGAAATTAGTACCTGAAATAATACAAATTTTAGGAAAGATGAATCATAACTAACTTGTCTATCCTAAGATCTGTATTATTTTCGATTATTATTTGTGTCTGATGATTTCCGTTAGTGCAGTAATACTTTCATTTTGATTCTTTAGTCGACCGACCTAAAGTTTCAGGTTTTTCACCACTTCGAGAATGTATGGTTTCTATGAATTGAAAAGAACAATATTATGAGTAATTGTGATAGGTGCAATAGCATACCTGGACAATTCATCTATTTATTTCGTTCAGAAATGATGGGTTGTTTGAGTTTCAAGTATGAATTTTATTAAATTTCTGCAATTTTTTGTGACATTAGGTTCTTCATTTCATTCGCTTGCTCGAGTATTGATTATTGTTATATTGAGATTGGATTGTCAACTCCACCCAAAGGGTCAGTTACCTCATGTCCACGATACAAAAATCATTATTTTTCCTATCAGGAGTCTGGGGCATAGCTTCTCTTGTTGATAGCGATTCAAGAGAGAGATTCGACGAATTTTACAAACAGCTATGGCGAGGACAAAATGAAGAATATCCATTTCCTGAGTCCCTTGAGAAATGTGAAGTCAGCATTCCTACTGAAGGTCTCTTATTCGATTATGCGTATAATTATAAAATGAAGGGAACCTGGAAATATTGGCCCGAAGTAGTGAGAGCTGAAAGAGTTGATGAGTGTAAGAACATATTGCAAGCACTCATTCCCACTGTAGATACTGCCAGGTGCCATCAAGAAAACGTATCAACATATCTAACAGTTCTTGAGTATTTATTTATAATTGCAGGTATATGTACTTAGTCGATATGCATATCAGATACAAGAAACCCCTTCTGCTGATGGGGCCAACAGGAACTGGTAAAAGTTTCTATATTCAAGATATATTATTAAATCAACTGGACAAAGTAAGCTACGAACCAGCGTTCATTACTTTCACTGTGAACATCAGTGCTAATCAGACTCAAGATCTTGTTATTTCTAAATTGAACAAGAGAAAACGTGGGCATTATGGACCACCCAAAGGAAAAACGACTATATTGTTCATCGATGATGTGAATATGCCTATCAAGGAACAGTATGGTGCACAGCCGCCTCTGGAATTGTTGAGACAATTTTTCGACCACAAAAATTGGTAACATGATAAACTACGCAACGTTAATTTCGTCGCACCCCAAAATTCTTGAGTATTTATAAAAATATTTTTCTACTGTTAAAATATGAATAACGTTTTTCTGCTTTGAACAATGTGAATTCGGATTACACTGTTCGCTAACCCAGTCTTCCAGCTATAATCTCGTACTTCTTTAAAAAATGAGGTTCTTCATATAAAATCGCTACAGGATGTCACCTGAAACTGTGAAAAATATCTGAGTTTTCAAACGGATCCCAAATGAATGAAAACTCTTTTTTTTCAACTTCGACAGCAGAGGCATGAAGATGATCTCATTACCTATGCACGTTTTTAAAATTTTCTTCTTATCTCTTTTATTCACAAAGTGATCTCAAAAAAATAACTTTCTGGTTCTGCAGTCATAACTTTATTCCTTGTCAACCCGTTTTCTAAATCTCATTTTGAAGCTGAAACTTTAGATGAAAAGATATAAAGATCAAAATTGATCCAAGATGAATATTATACAGTATGTTTCACTTCTAATGGAAGCACCAATGCATGTTTCGTAATTGTTGAGTTATGATTCTGAAACTCACAGGAGCGGGAGATATACTAAAAATAAACACTATGACCAAGTGGAATTATCTCCAGTGATAAACACTGCTCGCCAACAGCCATGGAACCACCCAAATTTCCGGAAAATGTTATTAGAAGCCAAGATAGGTTAAAAATCACTTCGGATTGGAAATCAGGACGTCCAATTCACTGACTTTACAGATTATTCCTGAAAAATGTTCAGTTCAGAGTAATTGAATCTTGTCTCACTCCTCATGGAAGCATCTCCGTATATCACGTAATTATTGAGGTAGGGTTCTGAAATTTTCAGTAGGAAGCGGAAGAGACGTCGTCCTGATTTCGAATCCGAATCTGATTTTCAACTTATCTTGCCTCCTTATATCATTTTTGTGGGTTGTTACATGGCTGTTGGCGAGCAGTGTATATCACTGGAGACGACTCCACTTGGTCATAGTATGTATTTTCAGTATATCTACCGCTCTTGCAAATTCCAGAATTGATTGATTGTCTTCATTAACCCAAGAAACATAGTTGTTTATAATAGGGATACATAAACAATATACATAATGTTATACATACAATTATGAAATTATAATAAGATATAACAAGTAAAAAAAAATACAAATAATCATGCAATATCAACCTTGCCTTTTATAAATAGGTATTCAAATAAGAAATGGAATTATCAAAGTCTCTGAAGCAGATATTTTTTCAAGTTAATTTTGAATCTAGTTGCTTCCTGTATATTCCTCAATTGACTTGGTAATGAGTTGTATAGAACGATTCCTGTGTGAAAAATGGATTGTTTGCCGATATTTGATTTGAACGTATTTGCTATTAGTAAATTTGATTGTCTTATTGTTCCATGATTATGTAATGAATTGATTTCATTGAAATTTAAATTTGAAATTTTCCACAAATACGAAAGATACAGGGGTGCTTCCATTAGAAAAGAGACACACTGTATAATATGCATCTTGAGTCAATTCTGATCCTCATGTCTCTTCATCTGAAGTTTTAACTTCAAAATGAGCCTGAGATTCCAAAAATCGGTTGACAAGGAAAAAGTTATGACTGCAAAACCAAAGAGTTAATATTTTGAGATCACTCTGTAAATAAAAGAGATAAGGAGACAATTCGAGAATCATCTACATGACTCTACTGTTGAAGTTGAAAAAAAAAAGTTTTTCTTCATTTGGGATACTTTTGGAATTTCCAAAATTTTGCACAGTTTCAGGTAACTTCCTGGAGCGATTTTATGAGAAGAACCTTATGTTCTGTGCTGGGCTAGCGAATGTGATCCGAATTCGAATCGTTCAGAGCAAGTTATTCATATTTCAACAGAGGCAAAATTTTGGGGTGCGACGAAATCATTGTTTCGTAGTTTACTTTGATATCTATAAAATTGAAATCATCACATGGAAATCGTTGAGTCCCCCTTTGCTAGGAATAACCTTTCTAATACGTGATGATGTACTGTTCTCGAACATTGTACTAATTCAATTTTATAACTTCTCGATTGACCGACAGTCAGTGTTCGATACACAAATTCCTCATGTTCGAAGCACAATAACTTATGACAATTTTCTGTTTTCTGCTTCTTCTGCTTTTTCCCGATTTCAACTCACTCGAACGAGTTCTAGATATAGTCTATAATTTTTCGGAAAAAACTAAACTATAAAATACGAGTTGAATACCCGCAGATTACTGTAGGTAAACATATTGTAACTTCTTACATGATATTCAACGATCTCACCCACCGAAGGTATTTCATACTCAAAAACAAAACTGTGTTTCGTATGCTAATGTGAACAGTTGATACATATAGCAACATCACGATTTTTGAATAGAATGGCAACCGTTGAATATGATTTCTGGTGTTGAGTTGGCGGGAATTCGGTCGAAATGTTGAAGAAAACCAATTTTTGAATTGTCGACGTTTCGAAACTTTATTGTTTCAAAATAAGTTATGCAAAATAACAATCGTTGAAAATAAAACACTTATATCATACTTTACAGAAAACATCATTGATAGATACTTACATTTAGGGTGGCTTTCCGGGTTTAAAAATAGTGAAATAAATAAAATCGTTATAAAGTATAATACGTACACACAGGTTCATGAAAGACCTTAACACAGACACGAACATAATATGAAGGAATGAACAAACTGAACTGTCGTTGAATCGTTTCTTTATATTGCAAAAAAGGCTCGTGAAAGAGATATTAATCGGGATTGGAAAATTTACACACCTCATATTTCAATTTAATATTAAAAAATCAAACAATAATTCCGAATCATCAGCAAGCGACTTTTCCCAATTTCGATTATTATCTCTTTCACGAGCCTTTTTTGCAATATAAAGAAACGATTCAACGACAGTTCAGTTTGTTCATTCATTCCTTCATGTTCGTGTCTGTGTTAAGGTCTTTCATGAACCAGTGTGTACGTATTTATACTTTATGTCGATTTCATTTATTTCACCATTTTTGAACCCGGAAAGCCACCCTAAATGTAAGTATCTATCAATGTTGTTTTCTATAAAGTGTGATAAGTGTTTTATTTTCAATGATTGTTATTTTACATAACTTATTTTGCTTTTATCAAAACCCCTCATTTTAAAATATCATTTTGATATGTATGTTCTTGTATTAACTTCAGTGTCCTGAAGATGAAACAATAAAGTTTCGAAACGTCGACAATTCAAAAATTGGTTTTCTTCAACATTTCGATCAAATTCCCGCCAACTCAACACCAGAAATCATGATTTTTGTTTCATGTAGGTGCGGTCGAATTGAAAGTTTCTTCTCAAATTTTGCAGATTTTAACTGGTTGATCAAACCATCAATATTTTAGGTATGATTTAAAGACTAATTTCTAACTTTTCGTTTAACCGACAGTCAGTTTTCGATGCACAAATTCCACATCTTCGAAGCATGAAAACTTTTTTGCTATTCTCCTCGATTTCAACAAATTCAACCCAATCGAACGAGTTCTAGATATATTCTATAATTTTTCGCAAAAAACAAAAAATATAAAATACGCGTTGAATCCCCGCAGATTACTGTTGGTAAACATATTTTAACTTCTTACATGATACTCAACGGTCTCACACACCGAAGGTATCCCAAACTCAAAAGCAAAACTGTGTTTCGTATGTTGTGAAAAGTTAATAATATAGCAACATCATGATTTTTGTTTCATGTAGGTACCGTCGCATTGAAAGTATCTTCTCAAATATTGCGGATTTTGAATAGTCGATCAGACCATCGATATTTTAGGTATGATTTGAAAACTACAGAGGCCATATACCTCCACGATGTTCTCTTTCTTGGAGCCATGGGCATAGTTGGTGGCAGCAGACAAGAAATCTACCCACGTTTCCTCAGACACTTCAGCATATTTTCCATAAACGAATTCTCCACTGACAGCATGGCGAAAATCTATAGCAATATCCTTCTTTTGGGGTGGAAGAATAATGGCTTCCCTTCAGAAATCGTAGCTGTTGTCAACCAAACGGTCAATGCGACTTTGGATATGTATAAGTCGGCTATGGAAAATCTGAGACCGACTCCTTCCAAAAGTCATTATGTTTTCAACTTGAGAGATTTCTCCAGGCTTATTCAAGGTTGTGCCATGCTCAGGAAGGAATCGGCTGAGAACAAGAAAATTTTTGGGAGGATTTGGGTACACGAAGTACTGAGGATTTTTTATGACCGATTGATTGAAAATAAAGACAAGGACTGGGTCTACACTAAGTTGAGGAGTTGTGTGAAGGAATATTTCAGAGATAATTTTGAGCAAGCTCTTGACAACTTATCGAGAAATAAAGATGGTAAGAATTTCGGATTGCATTGAAAAATCCACCCAATGAATACAAAATTATGATATATAACAAGGGCAAGGACTTTTTTATATATGAATGAATTCAAGAAAGACATAAGAAGATGAATTATAGTTTCTGAAGACCTTTGCCTACTTCTTCGATATTGTCATTTGAAACTTTCAGTGATAGGTGTAGATGATAGAATTGGAATCACTATCACAAGAGATTTTTCCTTAAATATTTTTCACACGGTACGATATAAGTGCAATAATTTTTTATAGGTTTGGTTGGTAGAGACGCTCTGAAAGACTTGATGTTTGGCACATACTTTGATCAAGATTCAGAAGAAGATAAACGGTACGAAGAGGTTGCCACCAAACAAATGTTGCGGGAATTAGCTGAAAACTGTTTGCAAGAGTATAATGCTACGCATAAGAATAAAATGGATATCATTCTCTTCGACTACGCTCTAGAACACTTGTCAAAAATATGTAGAGTGTTATCTATGAACTGTGGTAGCGCTCTATTGGTAATTTTCATTCCCATATTCTACTTTTATTCGTTGTTCACATATCATATGTCATCGCTATTCGAAAATAATTGGGAAGCGCATGTAGGTACAGGTGGAATCGGGAAATATATGCACGAAACTTTTTAACCCACCCCTGTACAAGGGAGATGTTGATGGATTATATTTCGAACGGCTGGTGAGTTTTGTACAGGAGTAGTCGACAACAGGATCAAATTGTGAAGGTTATAACCATGCATACATACATGTTTGAAAAAAACGAACAGATAGTCAATGCACTGTGATTTGATTGAAATTAAATACAGTTATAATCTACCACCTATTGATTCAAACTATTATCAAAACATTGATGGTGAGTTTACCAGCAATATCACTATCACTAGAGCCGAACATGGAAACTATAGAAAGCACGGACTGATATATGAGTCGACCGATGTTTTTTTTTAATCCCCAATCAATCTGTAAGTTTCTCATCCTGAAAATTTGAAATTTGAAGTTCCTTGGACAAAGCGTAAGCGATATCCTTGAGATTTCGAGAAAGCAACAGAGTTCCACCGTGACACTAAACACGCTCTATTCAAACATGTCTCGCTGCTCATGTTTATGGGCCACCCCAGCCGGCATATGGCTGAGGCCGATTCTGGGCGTGTCCACTGAATATGGTCAGCAAGTGCTTGAGATTTCGAGAAAGCAACAGAGTTCCACCGTGACACTAAACACGCTCTATTCAAACATGTCTCGCTGCTCATGTTTATGGGCCACCCCAGCCGGCATATGGCTGAGGCCGATTCTGGGCGTGTCCACTGAATATGGTCAGCAAGTGCGAGTCCAAGGCGACCATCACTAGAGAGTGTTCTTATTTTTCATTTTCCCTCATCTGAACAGCAAATTACCATCAAGCTTTTATTCGTATTCGACCCTAACCAAACTGGGTTAATCTCAGCAATTTCTCATTGACTTATTGGACTATAATCGCAGAACAAACTTCCTTCTTGCTAACACCAGCCAACTCCACACTGCGTGTAGGATTGTTTGAAAAAAGGTGCTCTTGTTCCGTATCGATCAGATGTATCATTTTCGAGTGGAATCGATTTAAAAATGGGAGAAAAAGCAATGAAAGTGCCAAAGGCTGTTGACTCTCATTGCTTTTTCTTCTCAAACTCAATTGGGCCCCTATGAGAAATATGAATGGTTTCTACGATTCGATTTAAAGATATTGGTACACCCATATCTTGTGCATAACGTTGCAAATTTTTGAAGTACATACCCGAAATTAGCCTGCCATGATTATTAAATAAAAAAGAAAAAAAAAATACCATAAACTTGGGTCGATTAATGCTTCATAAGGGAGCTACAACAGTCCCTTAAAGGTGAGTCACTGAAGATGGTTTCCATTTATTATCTCCGAAATCAGTAGGAGCGAAATGATGAAATTTTGCACATCCCCAGAAGATTTATCCATGCTTGATAGCACAGGGTGTTAATTTTGGGACACCCTGTATATGTTCATTACATTTGTCATTCATTCGAATATTATGGAAGAAAACTTCTGCTGTAACTCCGGTTGCATGAATCTCGATAGACAATCTACAAATGAAAAATTCAAGACACTATATAGGCGTTTTCGGAAACTTACTCGGGTTGATCAGATCCCTAAGCTGAACGTTCGGTTACCTAAACCGAGTCACCTACCTCTGTTCGGAAACTTGAGTCATGCTAACTCGATCACTGACTCGGGTTGATTTTTCGTGACCCTACTTAAAAGCAGGGTCGCCAGAGTCACAAAGGACACCGTATGCGCATTACCAATATATGGAAATGTCAATCGAAAAACGCGGGAGTTCACCACTCCACGACAACTACAATAGTTTACATGTTGGGAAAAGTTTCGATCGGTGATACAAATTTTCTTGATTTGGTAATGCATAGGGTAGAAAATCTGTGTGGATGTGAAGTTTGTGGTGTTTTCAAGTTTACCAATCACCAGACAAACACAAATATTAGTAATTATATCAAATAAGTACTTGAATATAATGTGAACATTTTTGTTAATCAAATTCACGAAACCACAAAAATAATATTAAATTCTCTGTTCCTAACCTGACACGTTCGAAAACGTAGAACACGATCGAGTAGGTGATTTTTCGTCACGTGATCTCTCTGGATCTAGTTAACAACCCAGAGTAAGTTTCCGAAAACACCTTATGAGTGATTTTCTTCCAGGTTGGTATCAGCGGATCCGGAAGGCAATCTTTGACTCGTCTTGCAGCTGAAATATACGGTCAAACGTTATTCCAACCGGAGATAACCAATAACTATTCCGTCAACGATTGGAGAGACGATATCAAGAAGATCCTCAAAGAAGCTGGTGGTAGGGGTAAACATGCAGTGTTTCTTATATCAGAAGGGCAAATAAAAGAAGAAACCTTCCTGCAAGACGTTGATTGTCTTCTGAATTCCGGGGAGGTTCCTAATATTTACCAGATTGATGAAAAACAGGAAATTCTTGATATGGTTCGTTTAGCAGCTCAAGGTGATTATACTAGCACAACAAATTGTTTTTCTTCAGAACCATCAGGAAATTATGACATTTCCTACGCCAATACATGATGAATTTATATTCTTTTGATTAGGGAAGCCATATTTTCTTATTCAAGGACCCCACATCAAAGTTTGAAGTATAGTAACATATACATATACATCCAATATTCTGAGTTATAACTCGGAATTTTAAAATTCCGAGTTATTACTCGGAATTTTACATCCAATATTCCGAGTTATAACACGAAATTTCAAAATTCCGAGATATAAGTCGGAATTTTGATGTAAAATTCCGAGTTATAACTCGGAATTTTAAAATTACGAGTTGTTATTCAGAATTTTGAAGAATTTTTATTTTTTTTTATTTTATGTGTCCCTTTTAGGCCTTCGTAGAAATCATCAACAAATTGTTCGAAATATTTATCTTTTTCACGTATAGGTACACAAATATTTGTACTGTCAGCTGTTTTCTTGTATTTTGTACGTTAGAGCCGTCGAGCGCCCAATGTAAACTATTTTTTACTGAGGTTGCTTGTATCGAAATATTTGATCTGAAGAACATGAAGTAGGGTTTTCATAGGCACATCTGGTATACATGAGAGCTAGTATAGCTTATGCAAAGTCAGTTGAACAGATCATCAAACGAATGTCGGGCCGCGCTGCCGCACTCTTTGAACTTTCAAAGGGACCGACGGCTTGCGGTGATGTGTATTTCCAACTGACTTTGCATAAACTATAAAATGTATGGAATCCGTCACATATAATTTTTAAAATCATTGGATTGTATGCAGAGATTCACTCTATTTCAAGAGAATGAACCGCAGAAAAGATTCGTTAGGTGGTTCCATAACTTGAAAAGTATCCATTCGTGTGGAGTTAGTTAGGTTATTTCATCATCAATTTACTCGAACAAAAATCAGTTCAACATCTAGGAATAACTAGAATAATATTACCCACTGCATTCTAATGTATTGCAATGCATTCTTCTCTGCTCCCTGCTATAATAGTCATTTATGCAACAATTGCAAAAACTGAAACAATTTTTGCACGAGTTGCATACAACATTTTTTCTACGTTCATTCAAAAAGCAAAAAATGATTTATTGAGGTGCGGCACTAGGTGTAGGAAAATGAAAAACGCTACTTGAATACTTTATTATCAATATCGATTTGCATTGAAACAGGAACTAATATGTTACGAACAATTCAATTCAAACTTCATTTTTACCCTCAATGTTGTAAGTGAATGAACAATTGGTGCAATTTTCAATATGAATATAAAAAATGTTTGTCATGATGACAGCACGTTGAAGTTGAATGATAGATGAGTGCAATGAAAACTTCATTGCACTAAGTGCAATAAAGTACTTCTTTTCCCACTAAATATAGTTCAATAAAGTTCTGCCTTTTGCATGAATGTAGAAAAACATATTGGTGAATTGTTTCTTGAGAATAATAAAGATGATGATGAATATCTATAGTGTTAGGTACTTAATTGATAATAACTTTTATTCGATTTTGAGTTTCAGCTATATAGATATCAATTAGACAACTTGTATATTCCTTCACGGCTAACTTCATATTGTGATTGAAGGTGGGAATAGGAACCTTGAAATAGACGCATTAGAAGTGTTCTTCTTTTTTACAAAGAGATGCAAAGAAAAGTTGCACATCATGCTATGCTTCAGCCCTGTTGGATCAACATTCAGGAATAGGTTGCGGCTTTTTCCAGCCTTGATTAACTGTTGCACCATTGATTGGTTCGAAGATTGGCCTGAAGAAGCACTGGAAGAAGTCGCTCATTGCTGGATGGAAGATATAAATCTCTCTGGTAAAGGTTTCAAATTATGAATTCGATATCCGTCAATATTTTGAAGAATCAAATTTTAGTCGATGTGAAAAATACCTCTGTGATAGCATGTAAATATTTTCACGTTGAAGCAAGGCAGTCGTCTGAAGAGTTTTTCAATGCGTTCAGTAGAAAAACTTATATAACTTCGGCTTCCTACTTAGAACTTATCCGATCCTTCACTGACCTCACAAATAAGAAACAGAACGAAATTATGCTCGCTAAGAAGAGGTACATGGGTGGCTTAGAAAAGTTGTATCATGCTTCTGTTAGTATAGGTGAGTTGAACAATTTACAATAATAAAATCATTAAGTATCCTCGCGAAACTTAGACTTCATTATTTCCAAAGTATAGTCTCCTTCACTATCTATATCAACTTTATGCGATTCTTATCTGTCTATTGAATAGGGGAGATGCAAACGTCATTGGCCGAACTGCAACCACAATTGAAAATTATGAGTGAAAAAGCAACACAGATGACAAAGCAGATAGAACAAGAGAGCATAACAGTTGAAAAGGCTTCGGCATTGGTGAAGGAAGATGAGAAAGTAGCTAATAAACAAGCTGCGGCCTCGCAAGCTCTCAAACTGGAATGCGAAGCTGATCTAGCTGAAGCACTGCCTATCCTTGAAGAGGTAAGGTACACTGAATTCAATTCACGCAATCCAAATGAGCAAACATACCAGCATATTTACCATCGGATTCAAATTACAACATTACTAGGAAACCGACAATATATTACCATATCTTCTTCATAGGTGCAGAACAAATGAGATCAGTGATCACACATTCAAAACGATTTGTACATATATATTGATTTCATTTTAGAGTTTCTGATACCTACTACCCTAAACATTGCATCTTAGGATGAATCTCAACATTCTCACAAGCTATGATACCATAGGAGGATCGTATATAGCCATACCCAAATATTTGAATTTGCTCATTTCAGGCTATCGGTGCACTCGATACTTTAAAACCTGCAGATATAACTCTGGTAAAATCAATGAAGAATCCTCCTGACGCTATAAAATTAGTGATGGCAGCTGTGTGCATCATTAAAGGATTGAAACCAGATAGAGTACCTGATCCATCTACTGGTAGAATGCTCTTGGATTATTGGGGCCCAAGTAAAAAGTATGTTTTAGATAGAAAAAATAATATTTCGTAGTTTCATTTCAATTTGGGTCTGAGTTGTCTTTCCAGAAAAATCATTTCAAATGTTTCCATTTTATCACCCCCATACTTATCTTCGATATCGATTTTCATTTTCATTTTTCAGGTTATTGGGTGAGATGAATTTTTTGCAAGCTCTCAAAGACTTTGACAAAGACAACATTAAGCCTGAATATATGGCCAAACTGAGGAAGGAATACATTCCCCACAAGGACTTCAAACCAGTAATTGTGGCAAAGGCTTCTAGTGCAGCTGAAGGTCTGTGCAAATGGATCATAGCAATGGATATGTATGATAAGGTGAATATAACAATAAATCAAATATGATACACCTCTCACTACCAGTGTTCTAACACAAAATATTTAGGAAATCAACCTCTAGCTTTCTAAAAAATGGAAGTTAACTTCTGTCAAACCACTCTGCATTATGTAAAACATAGGCTAATTGAAGAGGATATTCATTACAGGTTAACAAAATAGTTGCCCCAAAGAAAGCCAAACTTGCTGCTGCCGAACTAGAGTTCGCGAACACTATGGCTATGCTTCTAGCAAAAAGAAACGAGGTAGAGAAACTAGAAGCTCAGTTGGCTGATCTCAATGAGAAATTAGCAGAGGCGGAGAAAAAACAGAAAGAACTGCAAGATGAAGTCGATTTGTGCAACAATAAATTGATACGAGCCAAAAAGTTGATTGGTATGTTATCACTCTTTTTCTTAATGAGGACTCTCGCTCGCTTCTTCTTGAGTGAGATCTTGAGCGTTCTCAACATAATAAGAATTCGTGCATATCGTCAATATATAGGCATCAATGTCAGAAGTCAGTACTGTCTGTAGGTTGATCGAGGGAAAATATTCATTTATCCAGATTTTCGGGATCAAAGGAAGTAGGAACTCTTACTCCACTAGGAGCAGTAGCTGGATATTTACTAAGATTACTTCAGCGCCCGTTCAATAACTTCAACACCTACTTTATCAGTATTTCATCCAAGAGCGCTGAAGTGCTACTAAACATCCGCTGAAATTAGTGCTAAAGTACCAGTGTACGCTCGGGCGTAAATATAGATGTGATGAAAAATGTATCATTGTAATCAAACTATGGTTCAATGATCATTTTCCGATTTCTATTTACTAATATTTGTTCGTTTTTATATAGGTGGATTGGGAGGTGAAAAAACAAGGTGGACTGCTGCCGCAGATGCTCTTCAAATCCAGTACGATGGCTTGGCAGGAGACATTCTCATCTCCTGCGGAATAATCTCGTACCTGTCCCCTTTCAATAACGCCTACAGAACAAAAATAGTGTCCGATTGGCACAAGTATGTCAAGAAACTGAAAATACCTACAGCCGATCATTATGAAATGGTACTCGTCTTGGGATCGGACGTTCTGATCCAAAACTGGTATATCAGCGGATTACCGAGAGATTCCTTCTCGACGGAGAATGGCATCATCATGGATAATTCCAGGAGATGTTCGCTTTTCATAGATCCTCAAGCTCAGGCCAGCAACTGGATCAAGAAATTTGAGAAGAAAAATAATCTGGAAGTGTTGAAATTCTCGTTTCCCGATTATATGAAGAAGATTGAAACCTGCGTACAATTCGGTTATCCTGTACTGATAGAGAGTGTGGGAGAAGAATTGCAAGCTCCCTTGGATCCGCTCCTGTACAAAAAAACTTTCAAACAAGCTGGAATGGAAGTTATCAGTATAGGAGAGAATGTTATAGAGTATAATAAACACTTCAAGCTTTATATGACTTCGAAGCTACGGAATCCACATTATCTGCCTGAGGTTTTCAACAGAGTTACGATCATCAACTTTGCTCTAACCCTAGAAGGTCTTCAAGATCAACTTTTAGGTACAAAGTTTTGTTTTTACAAATTCTTTGTCCATCATACCGGGTGGCTTCGAGAACGAGGCCGTCCCTATATAACTTTTGAGTCGTTTGAGCTAGAATTTCAGAATTTTTAGGGTTTATTCAACATCTCATCATCATACTTTCACTAATATAGTTTTTCTCTTCGAGTCACTACGGGTTCCACGTGCAAAATGACGAAACATTTTTGGGGTCACAGTTTCTCAGAAATGCATTATATTCTTGAACCCCACATTATACTGATCAAGTTTTGCGAAATATAGTTATGGAATACCTTCGTGTGGATATTTTTGAAAACGTGCTATCATGGATATATGACTTCTTCAAGAAACAATGACTAATTGATTTTTGTTCTAAAGGTATTGTGGTAGCTGTCGAAAAACCAGATCTCCAACAACTCAAAGAAGAGCTGATCGTACAGAAAGCAGAAAACAAAAAAGCTCTTCAAGAAACTGAAGAGAACATTCTAAGAACACTTTCGGAGTCAAAAGGAGATATTCTTGAAGACGAAAAGGCTATCCAGATATTAGACGAGTCAAAACTTCTGTCGATAGAAATTATGGAAAAGCAAGAGAAATCGTTGACGATAGAAAAATCTATAGAAGAATTCAGAGGAAAATATCAAGGAGTATCAGGACATTCCGCTGTTTTATACTATTGCATTTCTGATTTAGCAAATGTTGATCCAATGTACCAATACTCCTTAGAATGGTTCATCAATCTGTATATCGGTTCTATCCAAAGGGCTGAGAAATTTAAGAATATAGAAAAGAGATGTCAATGCCTGATCAATGCATTCACGTTCGATTTATACAGTAACATTACGAGATCACTTTTCGAGAAGGATAAGTTACTATTCTCATTCTTGTTGTGTTCAAAGATGATGATATCCCAAGGGAAACTAGATGAGAGCGAATTCGTATTTCTGTTGACAGGTAAAATATATTATCACGAAATCGGTCGAAGGTAGTCATGAAATGGGGTTTCTTTTTTGGAAGAAGACATCGAAAATTTTGTTCGAATTCGCCCTTCAACCGTCATCAATTTCTACCAGCTTCGGATTGATTAAATATAATTCAATATTCAGGCTTCGAAAGCTATTGATATACATGACAACTCTCCGATTTTGCGTTATCTGACCCAAGTTGAAAGTACTGAGATTCTTTAGAATCTCCAGAATATTTCTCGCGTGATGTACACTCGTGTACAGAAAATATGTCGCGATTGGTAAGCTCTCTAATTCACCGCTGCAATAAGAGCGATCACACCGTCCAACTGCGACGTGTTTTTCGAAGACGAGTGTACCAGACTCTCCATTCATAATATCAAAGTTGATATCCATTCCATAAGAATTAAAAAAAATACCAAATTAAATAAGTAGCACACAATATCAGTGCAATATTACGAAAATATCGGCAATATATTGTGAACCTAACATTGGCGAGAAAGAAAATATGTGAACATTCAGCGGTATGTGTACAATATTAGTTTCAAAATGTAGCTAGGTGTCGTCTTGAAAGCATTGATTGAATATTTCCACACCAATATTGGTTGAGTATTCGTGGAATTATATATGTCACAAAATGTGAAATCAATATTGGCGAGAAATGAAAAGTGAACATTTGACAATATTGGTGCAATATTAGTTGGAGATATTGGTAGATTATTGCAAATCATTATATGTTGTCATATTCTTTTCTCTTGACAATATTGGTCAATTCCTTGATTCTTGATCCAATATCTATATTCTCTCGTCTAACCGGCACATTTATAGCGCCATCTATAGACATCGGTTAGAGAGTGAAATTGAACCACTATTCCACCAATATTATCATTCCAATATTCTATTTTCGATATGGTCTCATATTGAATCGATATCATTTTCGTATTTGAAATATATCTATATCGGCCCAATATAAAATCAGAATTCAGCCAATTTGATGTGCTACCTGGGTATTAACTCATAACCATATCGATACTTTTGACCAATTTCTTCGAATATTTCAATGTGTATGTACATATTTATCGTGGTGTCTATTCATTGCCTCTGATTTCCTTGAAAAAAGCGATGATTTCTACATACCTATCTAAATAAATCAGTTTGATTAGAGGTAACTTCAGATACCCCTGAAAATTGTTTTTATAGGTGGTGTTGATGTGGAAAATCCATTCAAGAACCCTTGCACACCATGGTTGCCAGATAGTTCATGGAGTGAAATTTGTAGAGTGGAAGGATTGACTGCATTCGAGAATTTCATGCATGATTTCAAATCCAAAGAATCGCACTGGAAAGCAATTTACGATAACTTTCAGGATGACTTTAGCATGCCCAGTCCCTGGAAAGACAGTCTACTCTCCTTCAGAAGATTGATTGTTATTAGAATACTCAGACCTGACAAACTGATAACAGCCATTACCAATTTTGTTAGGAACGAAATGGATGAGAGGTTCATCAAACCACCGCCTTTCAATATTTCTGTATCCTACGACGAGTCATACAGTTTATGTCCACTGATATTTATCTTATCACCTGGAATCGACCCTATGGCCGCATTGGTGAAATTTGCTGATGAAAAGAAAATGAGCGATAGGTTCCGGTCGATTTCATTAGGCCAAGGTAGATGAAACTATTCCCCTTCTTTATGTTCTAATTCATTGTGTTACGGTATAATTCAGGTCAAGGGCCGATGGCTCAGGCCCTTATCGAAGATGGTCAAGAAACTGGACTTTGGGTATGTTTGCAAAACTGTCACTTAGCTACGTCTTGGATGCCGAGCTTGGAAAAAATCTTCGACAACTTGGACTTTGCTTCCACTCATGACCAGTTTCGTTTATGGTTGACTAGTTATCCTTCACCAAAGTTTCCTGTGACTCTTCTCCAAAAAGGAGTCAAAATGACTAATGAGCCTCCTACAGGTCTACAGAATAATCTTCTCAAGTCCTATTTGAATGACCCTGTGAAGAATCCTGAGTTTTTCGAAGGCTGTGTCGGGCACGAAGAAATGTTCTCTAGATTATTGTATGGTTTGGCTTTTTTCCATGCCTGCATCCAAGAGAGACGGACATTTGGTCCACTAGGATGGAATATTCCTTATGGTACGTTTTTATCACGAACTCACCATTTCAACAGATTCACCTCGATCACATCATAACACCATGACAGAGTAGGTATGCATATTTCTTTACCAAGAGTTTCATGATGATTATCGTTTGAAACCATTCATGTTGGATCGTGTTGCAAATTGAATCTAATTCTTTTCATTCAAATTCACAGTTACTAAATGGTATAAATCCATTATATTGATGGAGATAAGTGATGATATGAATCTCGACTATAAATAGTAACTGACACACAATATTTCTAAAATAAAATGAAGAACTGCATGGGAGCTATCTGTTCAACCATATGGAAAGTCCGTGTGCCAATGACTAAGGAAGCTACGAACCCTCTACATAATAATACCAGTCATAAATCGAGTCACTATACCATCAAAAACTTCTCAGAGAACAGAGAAATAATGCTCATTTTTCACAATTGCCCTACATCATCCATGAGTTTCAGACTATTCAGGTATAAATTCTAGTCATTTAATCAGATATCATCACTTCTGCATCAACAAATTCTCTTGTGTGATAACGGTGAACTGTTTTTCAAAAAATAAATGCCGCTGATAGAATCACAAAATCCTTCACCAAAAATTTTAATATCGGATACAGATTCAATGCCGAATTAACTACTCATTTCTTTTATCATATGAATATTTATTTCTGGGAAATGAGTTAGATTTTTCGATGTTGATATACAGGGTGCCTCGAAATTACATAGAAATATTTTTACCATAGATTCAAGGAACACAAATATTTGAAGAAGTTCACATAAACATGAGCCGAAAAAATAACCCCTTGGGGAATTGAAGCCATCTGAAAGAGTGCCCGAGATGATGGTTTTCTGTAAATTTTTCCAAAACCCTCTGTATTGAGATGACGAAATCACGTACTTTATATGTACGTACGTATATTACTTCTCCTACGACCACCTATGAAAACAGCATAAAACACACCACTTTGTTATTGAGAAAGTAGCTCATGTCACCATAGTGATGCAAAAGTTCGAAAGGGATTCTCACGTGTGTTGAAATATAAAAAAACTCACGCCCACCACACAAGTTTCAGGACTTACTTGGCAAATGAAACACTATTGGTATTTATTATACGTCCATTCAAATACATTCATTTTCATTAGTTTATAATTTTTATCATTTCGCTTCTTGATCAGGTTCATGTTACTTTGTCATTCATAATAAATTATTAAATCATATATCGCGAGACATATCCTCGTTGCTGTCTACAACAGCGCTAGGGACATCGGATAAGCTTGTAACTGCTAATGTTAATGTTAAGTTATTGTTAAATTAATGTTGAGCTAATGGTAGGTTAATGTTAAAGTAATGAAAAGGCAAGTTAACTTATGGTCAAGTTAATGGAAACTTAGTGTCGATTTCATGAGACCTACTATTCTTTGTTATTGTCGTTTATGTTGACGTAATGTTAAGTTGATGAAAAGTTGAAATCAAGTTAATTTCTATTGGAAGTTGAATTAATGTCAATGTATTGGCAATTTAGTGTATAATATGAAGTTAATATCAATTTGATATTGAGTTAATGTTAATTCGATTTCAAGGTAATTTTGAGTTAATTTCGTGTTAATGTTGATTCAATGTTGAGTTAATATTGAATAATTATTGAGTCAATTTTAAGTTGATGTTGAGTTAATGTTAGGTTGATTTTAAGTTAATGTTAAGTTGATGTTGAGTGAATGTTGAGTTAATTTCAAGTTAATGTTAAGTAACTGATAAATTCATGTTAAGTTGATGATAAGTGAATGTTGAGTTGATGTTAAGTTGATGTTGAGCTAATGTTAAGTTCATGTTGAGTCAATGTTAAGTTAATGTTGAATTAATGTCAAGGTAATGTTGAGTTAACGTTAAACTCATGATGTCATTTGAATATTGAGGTAAAATTGAATAATAATGGTAATGATATCACCTTCATGCGATCGAATATGATTAGAAACATGATCCCTACTCTGGTCTCATAAAAACTCATGATATATAATATTAATATTCGTGGTCGTAGGAAAAATAGTCTACAAAACTCGCATTTCCTGCGCTCGTTTCGTTTCCGTACTCGCCGCTCTGCGGTTCGTGCTGAACGTCCACTAGCGTGAAATATGTTACTTTCCACTAGGGCTGTGCGATATTGAAAACTGGATATCGATATCGATGCACGCTTTGGTATCGATATCTATCGGTATATCGATATATCGATATGTATCGATATGTATCGATATGTATCGATATATCGATATGTATCGATATATCGATATGTATCGATTTGTATCGATATGTATCGATATATATCGATATATCTATATGTATCGATATATCGATATGTATCGATATATATCGATATGTTTCGATATATATCGATATGTATCGATATATATCGAAATGTATCGATATAATATCGATATATCGATATGCAGGTCGATATATATCGATATAACAATATGTACCCATTTATCGATATACACAATACACAGTGTACACCGTACACCTCAGGTGTACAGACAGAGTGTACACAGTACACTACACAAGTACACACACACTACACAGTCACACACAATAATCATGAGATAATGGAAAAAACCGAGCAAATACATTCATTGGAAGATTGAAAATACAATATTTGTTTAGAATGGCTGATATTGTGTTGAATACCTTGTCTGGATCTATGAAATTGTCTGAAACTTTCTCCATTCAACCGACTTTCCATCTCCTTTAGTTTCCGATATCCCAATACACTCCTCAACAATTTTGGACATACTGTATATCGATACATATCGATATGTATCGATATATCTTGCTGTTGAACTGTATTAAAATTTTCATAATGCAATACATCCTAAATTCTCAGCAGATATTTGATATTCTGAAATTGTACAAATTTACACAATAATAATACCAATGGTTTGTTTGTTGTATATTGTTATGTATCGATATGTATCGATATATCGATATATATCGATATGTATCGATAAATATCGATATATCGATACATATCGATAAATATCGATAAATATCGATATATCGATATAAATCGATACATATCGATACATATCGATATATATCGATATATCGATACATATCGATATATATCGATATATCGATATATCGATATTTTTTTTCTATGGTATCGTTCGTTATTCGATATATCGATATTTATCGATATATATCGATATATCGATATTTTTGCGCAGCCCAACTTTCCACACTAGTTATGTAATATACTATTTCATGCCCGATTTGGAAATGTTAAGAATTTTCCGCAACTGACCAGGAGCGTGAGAAATAGGTGGGGCTAGGGGCATTTCTTTCCACAACTTTTTTTCTATGCAATTTTCGGCAGTTTGACGATGAAATATGGAAATATCATAATCTTTATCTAAAACTGATACTCCTGTTTAGTTTCGATAATACTCACCATTTTTGAGATAAATCAATTCTAGAAGTCTGCCTCGTAATAAAAATAGTACTTCCTATTAATAGGGTACCTATCATAATATTCTTCAATCTATTATTTTAATTTTTCCTCCCACATTTTGAATCAAACATCGCAAGTAGATGTTGAAACATGGGTATTTTCCATCCGAACATAATTTTGGGAAAATTTTGTACCCTATTATGAGGGAAAAGCACATCAACTGAGATTAATACACTCGTTCGGAAGTTTGACCGAGTAATGAAAATCTTTTAGAAATATTATCATGGCAATATTTGTGAAATATATAGAAGTAGTAGTATATGCTCGAGTATATGTACTTCGATGGTATGTATTTATAGTATAGGTACTCCATACGCCACCTTAGGAGCAGCACTGCTAATTCGATCGCAAGAGTGAATCGTGAATCACAACCTCATAAATAGTTTTATAAATTGACATTCTCGGCATTGCATGGAATCTGAACTAGCAACCTTTCGATCTTCTGATTACTATAGTTGAGCGCTTCAATCACTGCGATAGTTCTGCCGTCTTTGAAATATGAACTCATTAATTTATCAGAGTTATATTTTACAATATAGTTTCAAATGAATATTTTGTTTTTTCTCAATTGCATACGAATGTTGTTTCTGAAATATTTTTCTGTTATTAATCCTCAAAGTAGATACTTTCGATATATAGAGCTATATAGTGCTACTTGGCGATGTTCGTTTTGAGGGGAGAATATCTTCAGAAGGGTCCAAATCAGACAAAAGTATATTCCTTTACTACCTTTGATTTTCGTTGAGTGAAAGGTATGTGAATTCATAGGTATATTTCTCTCGAAGTTATTTGAAGCAGCTCTACGGACCAAATGCACGCGTCGAACATTCCTTGTTCGACGCACATATATTTAAATAATGCACTCTTTCATACGCAACAAAGTTTCATGGTTAACAGGTATAACATACGTGAAATAAAACAATGAAACACCTCAAGGCTTGACTGTTTTCCATAGATATCTACTATATCTTCTAGTTCTATTTTCGATTCCATCAATTCCAATTGAAGACCACAGGGAAAAAAGGGGGAATGTCACAAAAAGTAAGTTTCGAGAGAAACGCATTTCAGAGTTTGAAACCTCCTTACTTTTTGCAAGTTGAAGGAAACTAAAATCGAACCCCTGGACTTAATTGATGAAGTATAATGAGGAATACAGTTGAACAACTAGAAATAAAAATCATATTTGAATGAAAAAATCATCGAAAACAAAAAATAGGTCCAAAGATGCAAAGAAAACATAGGGAATGTCCCAATAAATTGTCAGAAAACTGGATTTTCAATTCGTAATTATCTGCTCTGGTACATTTCTCCATCCTTGTCTAACTGCCTAATGAGCGGTAAGTTGTCGTATAGTGCATCTAGCATCTCTATAATTTGATCATTTTCTATAAATTACACGCGATATGAGTTGGAATCGTCATGTAGCAATCTCATTATTTCATTCCCATCACTCAGACGTACTTGACAAGCCCAGTCATCACATCTTTGTGTCGTCAGCCTCGAAATATGTCGAACAACTCTTTACCAAAACTCGTTCATACATAGTACGGAAAAGCTTTGCAAAGAACAAACAATCTCCAAAATTTGAAAGAATTCCCAATACCTACCTTCTTACCCTATCCTCCCTAGGTACCCACGATGCTCCCCGAACATTATAGGGATTCCCTTTCATACGCTCCAAGAGATAATAAAAAGATGGCCGTATCTCTCTTTTTTCTCACCTTTCGTTTGCCTGAGAGTTCACTTTGACATTTTGACAGTGTGAAATTAAAAAAAATGGCTGCTCCAAGATGGCGGGTTTTTGAGGTCGGAGATCATGATTTTCTTGTTAAAATTCATGAATTCATAATAGCGGCATCCAAATCATTTTTTGTTTTTGTATGAATGACGGTAACTCCGTTGTAATCAACACAAAACTATTACTGCGACATATCATCTGTGAGAGAAAAAAAAGTTATTTGTAACTAAGTCATAGTGAGCTATGACCTACATTTGAAAAACTAAAGTTGGTGCTGATATCTCAAATTCTAGAAGAGTTGGTATAGATTTCATATTTTTTTCGAAATCGCTTCGAAAAATTGCCATGAGAATGTTAAATTCCTATTTGAATATTTTCATAAATAAAGAAGTTACGGAGGAGACATGAAAATGATCAAAATCTGTTTTTTGCGTATAAAACAAAAACGAATAGATTTCATCAAAATATTTTTTCATATTATAGTTGGCCTTGACAAACTCCACATTTGGTGTCATTTAACCGACCTCGTATCTCTCACCGTTAAAAAGATACCCATGGTGAGCATGGTAAGTTGGACACACTGTATACTCGCACCAAAATGATCACGGCGAAGAGATAACTGTGAGCTCAGACTGCGAGCAATTGTTTTACTCGCAGTGACGTATATGAAGATGCGTCGTAGCACACCATACTAATTTCATTTCACCATGGTTGTGACATACTCCCTTTTTGCCCTGTGGTCTTCAATTGTCACGGTACACTATCAATGTTCTATATGATGTTGTTTTCAAACGAAATTTTCATCTCCAAGGTTTCAACGACTCTGATTTCGACATATCCGTCCAACAAGTACAGATGTTCATAAACGAAAGCGAAGATCCTTATGAAGCATTATCCTATCTCATCGGCGAATGCAACTATGGAGGACGTGTCACAGACGACTGGGATCGCAGGCTGATAGTGACGGTTCTAGCCGACTATTTGAACCCGCAAGTAGTCGCCAACAAGTCCTACTCTTTCAGCGACGCCGGAACATGCTATGGTCTACCAGAGAAAATAGAATACAATGCTTATATAGCCCATATAAACTCCTTGCCTGGGGTGCATCCTCCCGAAGTTTTCGGACTGCATACTAATGCTGGTGAGTTCGCCAACGGTTATAGAAGATTAAAATATCTCGTGAACAAGCAATATTTTGATCATTATTCTATACAATGGTGAGTCTAATACACTTCTCCCAGATATCAACGCACCACCAAAAAGTAGCCAGAAGTTTGGGAAACATTTTCTTCAAAACTACTTGTCCGATTTGGACGTTCTTTCTTTTGAATGACAGGTTATTTCCTCCTAAACATTGGTGTGCAAACTGTTCTTGCATAAGAACCTATTATTTTATGAATATCAGGATAGCCTGGAATATTTTGAATACAGCAACTGAGATACAGCAACCAAACACACCCTGAAACTGTTGAATTCTGTCCCAAAAAGGGCAATTTGTCTCGCGGGTGATGCCTCGCTCACAACCTCACTCACTTCTCTGGAACACCGTAGAGAAGCTCTAGTTTATGGATATTTTCATGGACGATGCTCTTCTGAAATATCAACAATTGTTTCTCCCTTGGGAGTCCCCGCGAGATTAACCCGTCGAGTTGAGGCTTCGAATCCCTTCGTGGTCACTTTGGAGACCTGCAGAACATCTCTTTCCAAAGACTCGTTCATCCAACGAATAGCGAGGCACTGAAACACATTGCCTAGCGAGGTGTTCCTTGAGGCATATAACCACCCTACCTCATTTCCCTTGGTTCTCACGATGTTCTCTGAACATTACAAGATATCCTTCTTCGTGGAAACTAGAACATAAAAAAATAGCGAGTTTTTCTCATGAAATTTGTAATACTCTATGGAGTGTAACAGTTACGTTATCAAGTTGAAATTTAAAGTACACTTCAGCCTCATCGTTTTTCAATAGTCTTTTTATGAATTTACTCCATTATCTTTCCTATTTCTCCAGAAACACAATTTTATAGCATATCATGTTTTTATTGAATTCAATTGGCATTATGAGCACGAAAGTAGCAGGCTATGATCGTATGGAACTTGTGATCATAAATGGACGCCTTACAACTGAAAGGTACATATCGGTGAATTCAGAACCACATATAGTGTAAGGATTTTTGTTGATGCAAGATAATGAATGCCAGGCCTCACGTCGCCCGAGTTGTGAGAAATTATCTAGACTAAGTGTGTATCGCTACCGCATGTTATGACCAGCTTGAGCCCTGGATTTAAATCCCATTGAGAATATCTGAGATATCTGGGACAAGCTTTCAAGAGGAACGTAACTTCAATACTACTTGGAAATGAGCGGCAGAGACTGATTCAAATTTGGGAAGACCTCTGGACCAGAACATGACATTAGGTCTCTGATTATGGGTATTGACCCTTTTGTTTTACTTGTAACTCCTCATTCTGTTTAGTTCTTTCGTTATTCAAAAGAAAAAAGAGATTGTTGAGACCTCTTTGTGTTGGTTGGGATTCCACTATACCGGTATTGATGACATTAATTGATAAAGGAGACGCCGCTTTTTACCAAAGGATGTATCATAAACTTCTAAAACATTAGCGACATTCTCAGTGGGACAAGTCAGAAAACGTCTTTATAATTTTTATTCAAAATTTATTTTCAACTAGGTATCACAAGAGACCTCCAAAACTCGAATATGTTGCTGAACTCGGTGCTCAAAGCGTATGGCGAAACTTCTTCTGGTGGAGTTGGAGAAACCGACAAATTCATCATGATTATGTGTACTGATATGTTATCAAAACTGCCAAAGCCGTTCGATTTGGAAATAGCCCATGCTAAGTTCCCAGTAGAATACACAGAATCAATGAATACTGTATTGGTTCAGGAGATGGAGAGATTCAATAAATTATTGAGAGTGATCAGAGCTACCATAGTCAATATGCAGAAGGCAATAGAAGGTGAGGTATAATTACATTATCAGACATAATTTACAGAAGGAATGTGATAGGACACAAGTTAAGTTCAAAGCATATCAACATGATTATACAGAATTTACTGAAGAAATGTTTTAAAGAACACTCATCTTGCTGAGCGATGTTGGTTTTTGCGGTACTAGCGATGAAACAAGTGATAATATGATTTGTTAAATCTAGTTGATCAGTAGTATCCTTTCAGCCATTCTCGTGTTAATTGAAGTAGTATAGGATTTCCTGCGATGATTTCGCACTAAAACATAATCATAAAATATTATATTCACATCGCAAGATCATCATTAATCATTGAAATTGTCCAGCATTGGGAAAAGCATCATGGCATAATATGATATCTCTATTTGAACATTATTCATAGATTATTCTGATTAGATCATTATAGCATGACAATAGTTTTGTTCTGAAATGAGGTTGAGAAACCAGGTTGAAGAACGATTGCATAAAACTCTGTTAATTCAACAATGAATCAACTCTTCTTACTCTCCTGCTGAGGCGTAAATTCCCATGAATATGATCGTCTTTCAAAAGCTTTATGCAACCGGCCCTAAAAAACTCAATCATTGTAGGAAAATGCATCCCTTCAGGTGAGAATATGTACTCGTCTAGACATATATATACAGGGTGTTACTTAATGATATGCTAATATTCAAGGGGCTGATTCTTCGACCAATTTCAAGAATAAAACTCCATATTAACGTATGTCGTAAACGTCCTAACTTTTGAAATACAGGGTATCAATGTTGAAAATATGCAAAGATTATTTTCCTGTCCGCCCTGAAAAGCTTCACGTGTTGGCAAAATTCAGTCTGCTATGTGACTGAAGCGGTATACAAATTTCACATTGTTACATACTGTGGTTATCCAGTAATGGATGTCGTGAATGGAGTACTCAGACATCAAAATTTGAAGTCTGGTCTCGGTTTTCCGTTTTTTTTTCTCGAAAACTGAGCGTTCTATCGATTATCAACGAGATGATCTCTTTTGTACATAATTGAATAGCCTTTCATGACATTGTATAGAATTTGAAATTTTTCTGTCGTTGCTCACTCTTAAGTAAAATATAAACAATAATATTCCCGTAACGATGCCACTGGTGGAGATAATGAAAATTTTTGTACATCAGAAGATGCACCTTAATGCATAAAATACGTGTACTGAATTTCATTAAGATGTATTCAATATTGTCTCAGCAATTTTCAAAAAACTGAATATTTTTCAAAACTTCATCACCCTGTATCTCAAAAGTTGAGACTTCTAAGACATACGTTCATATGAAGTTTTCTAATGAAAATCAGTCAATGAATCACCCCTTCGAATATTAGCATATCTTTAAGGAACACCCTGTATAAAAATTAGTTGAGTAGGGCGTGAATCCAAGACTGATGAATTATGAATTTTGGTATTAATCATCTCATGATAACAGGTACAGTCTGAATCCAATCTCATCCAAAATGAATTATAAATTATATAACAAATCTTCAAATTATACAGGGCGATTAATCGAGAATGGCAATCACTGAACTACAGATAGTTAATCCCGAAATGTAAAGTTATGCCCATCATGCCTCATGAAGATGTTACAAGGGCAATATTATATTCTGAATTCCTCCATAACTTTGGTCGATTATTCACTTTGAAGTTTTGTTTGTAGCTAGGTTCCATGTGACCCCAGATGGGTCTATTGTGGCTCACCCCTAGAGGTTACAATTCACTGATCAATCCACATCTTTTGGTCCATGGTTGAATCGGGTGAGATTTGTCTGAAATCGATAGGTTCTAAATTGGTAAGGCCAGATATGTCGAATCTCAATCTCTCGTTTGTTGATTCAGACCCATCCTTCCCAGGTGGTATCTTAGACGACAATGTCCCGTAAGCAGTCCTGTTAGAATTCGCAGGATGCACCTGCTCCATACTAGGATCTGCCTGGTTATATTTTTCGATGGTTCAGGCAGGAACACCTTCGAATGGGTTAATCCTGGCAATTTAGTACGTGAGTCTTTTTCTTTCCGCCCAGTCCAAGATAGTTGTTTTGGCTTCACTTGCAGTGATCCCAAATTATGATTCTGATCCTATGAACACAGATTCGGTTCTCTGTTTGGAGGATGTCGGCTTTCTTGTTGCTATCCACCCCCTGGTGTCCAGGCACCCACAGCACTGTAACTCTGCTGTTTGCATCCAGGCATTCTAGGAATTCAATACAGCTCCACACAACCTTCGAATTCATCTTGCTGGAGATCAGTGCTTTAAGAGCAGCCTAACTGTCTTATACAATTTCGCTAACTCTGAATTTGAAATATTGAAAATGTTGTATTGATACACAAAATTTTTCAAGAGCGAATAACACAAAAACCGTTGAAGATAGACAATTTGAAAGGAAGTACGTTTTTCATGTTAAATTGTACAGGCTTCCAGATTTTTGTCTTATTTCAACCATTATATCACGGACAATGAAAACATGATGTCATTTACAGGAGTAACAGAGTGCCACTGGCGCCCTCTATGAGCAATCACAAGAGAACGTACAAATTTGTATTCCTCATGTCAGGAAACCTGGAACTACATTTCTTGTTCATGCTGTTGAAACTTACAAAGTTATTGAGACAATTCAAAATAAAAATTTACCCTTGAACACATGTATGTCGTAAAAAAGCAGTATTCTTATGAGGCATGTTAGGCTAAATCTTTATATTCAGGTGTTAATTATCTGTAGTTCAGAGATGGCACATTCTTGATGAATCACCCTGTATACAAGGTGTGGTTGAAATGAGTGCACATATTCAGAACATATTAATATGATACAGTCTAAGAAATATTCCCATGATATCAGATTTTTTCTAATTCTCATAATCACCGAGGAATTTCATCACAAAAATTGAACAAAATACGAGAAAAAAATCAAGTATGCCAAACAATTTAAATGAATGAACTCCGCGTGATTGTTTCTACCGCAATTTGAACAGGGGTGATGTCAGATTTTCTACAGTGTAGAAATTTCGGTGGAGAAAGAGGTCTAACCTCAAATTTCATTTTGATCCCTAAATCTCTTTAATTACTTAGTCCCATTCGATAGCGTCGAGCTTTCTCAGTGTTTGAAATATTTGCACTTATTTCAATGCCACCCTGTATGGTGCTGTCATGATTTTTGTCAATAATAATGCTACTATACGCTCCTGCGATAAAGATGATTTTAGTGACATAATCAAAATGTTCATTATCACTGATCGAGCGAAAAAAACTCAAATTATAATAATCATTTAATAAAATAAATGGAAGTTCTTGTGGTCAAGTCAAGAGCTCCATACCAGACTGACAAAATTTGTAGATTCAAAGTCAGTATTTTATATACCAAATTTCCTATTCGTGGCGATGAAATATTATTTTTTTTGGATCATCATAGGTCTCGTTGCCATGTCTCCAGCAATTGAAGCTTTTTCGAGTTCCTTGCTCCTTGGGAGGATTCCATCTAGCTGGGCTGGAGTGTCCTATCCCAGTTTGAAAAACTTGTCGAACTACGTTAGCGACTTCATTAGCAGAATCGAGTTTTTGCAGACCTGGTTCCGCCAAGGTAAAGTCGATCGACATTGGAGTAATATCTTTTACCGATTCACGAAATCGTTTCCAATTAAATAGCAACTGTGTCAAATATTCTATACAGTGTGTTCATTTAGTGCATAATATAAAATAATTATTGAACATGTAAGCGATTCCTATTGGCGAATCTACTACAGTGTCCTTGACCTCTATTGAAATATTGTCAGTGTTGCATATTGGTTTATTAGATAATTTTGAAACAAGACACTCGATTTTGACACTGCCAAATTTCGAAAAGTTCGATGAAATTTCCTCAAATTTTCTCAAATGTAGCACCAAGTATACTACCTATATGAAGAAATAAAACCACTACCAATGTTTTTTCTCAGAACATGGTCATTTCAAGTTCTCTCCAATCTCAATAGCCCAAGAAATATATCTGAGAATTATGCACTAAATTGACACACTATTGGAGGGGCATTAGTTTAATACAGTGGCGCAGCCCTAATTTTGTATTAGGAGGTTTTTAGAAGAAAATCAGGCAGAGTATTACTTTACGTCTGGTTTGGGGGGGGGTGAGTTTCAACCTCGAAACCCTTCCCCCCGCTGCGCCACTCTTTTTTAATAGCATAACAATATTCAAATAAATCTGAAATATCTTCAGTATGACGTGCTATAACTATGAGCGATAAGCATACTTCGACATAATGTGAAATACTGTTTCTACTCTGAAAATGGTGGTTAAATGAAGAATGATCGGCAGAAATGATAGTTCTGAGATTTCCCCGGAAAATTTTCTTTAATGAAATTGTCATATATGACTCGAATGTAAGAGTTCTCCCAGTAGTTTTTGTGATAGTTAAATATTCAGCACATCATTATATGATACAGTATCTTAGATTTCCAAAATATCAGATATTTCCTAATATTTATTATCAACGAAAAATGTCATTTTGAGAATAAAAAAAATCACAAAAAAAACAAGTACGCTACTTCAAGACCATTCAAATGTTTGAACTCCGTGTGAATGTGCTTTCTGCAAGCAAAAATTTGTACAGAGGTGACATCATCTGCATTGTGGAACTTTGGGTGGAAAAAGGGGTCTCACCCAAACATTTTTTATTGATGTTTTTCTATAGTATACGTCGAGCTTCCTTATTAGAGTTGATTATAATTGTATTTATTTCAATGTCACCCTGTTTATTGGATACACCAGGGATACACAGCTCATCGAGTTCGTATTGTGAAAAATTGAAAATTCATAGACGAGGGTGATTTCATCGAAAAAAAATACAATGGTGTTTGTATTCTTGATGAATATATCATTTGTTTCAAATTCCTTACCTATAGCAAGAATTTTCAGAATGTTAGTAATGAATGTATTATTGTGAATGAATTTTGAAAATCTGGTTAACATCTTTTATCCTCTCTCAGGACTTGTATAACATTATATTGAAACCATAACTAGTTCAATGGATTAATGTAAAAATGCTAGACTGTTCGAATTTGCGCATGTATTCTCTTTCAAATACGTTTGTCCTCAGCATGAGTTGTGTGAAGTCCAAGTTCCCGTTTGACTAGTCTGATAAGTTTCTGTACTACTTTGTGTAAAAACTTCAATGATGAATAAATTATATGTATCTATCGATATGAAAGTGACGGAGTAAATAATTTTTCGCCATCATAGTATAAGATGTGCATTTTTTTATCAGGAATTTAGTTTTCTGAGCAGTCCTTGATAAGACAAAAATTTTCCAAATCGTAACGAATTTCTGTCGGTCTTCATAAGAAACGATATTGAAATGAAGACATATCTGCTCAGTAAACTTTAATTCCATATCTACTAATGGTACTTATCATTCACAAGTTGATTACTTGTAATGGATTTCAATATTTTCATTTTATATTTCATTATAATTTTTTTTTAGGAGAAACAATAATTGTGCAATTATTATTGTTTTGATTTATTATGTTTTATATGTTTGTTTTGTTGTATATATCCCTATTATATACAATAATGTTTCTTGGGGTAATAAAGACAATCAATCAATCAACTGCGAAACCTTTTTTCCAATATTGATAGGTAAACCAATGACCTACTGGGTGTCCGGATTTTTCTTCACGCAGGCGTTTTTAACCGGCGTCAAACAGAATTTCGCCAGAAAATACACCATACCCATCGACAAACTGACGTTCGATTATGAAATTTTAAAAACAGACACCGAAAATCACAGTCCTGCAGATGGCGCTTACATTTACGGTCTGTTCACTGATGGAGCTAGATGGGAAAGAAAGACGAACAGACTAGCCGAACTTCTTCCTAAAGTACTGCACGATACTATGCCAATTATCTGGATCAAGCCTATCAAAACTCAAGATTATAATCCAGGTAAATCAATCTTCAATAATGCCTTTCTGAAATAGTTTAATTGCGCATTGGCATTCTCTCCGAATTTTTATAAGAAAAACGGAAAATCATTTGATATAAGTAGTGTGACTAGTTTCGGCCACAGGCCATCATCAGACACAAAATTGATGTATTCAGAAGTACATACCTCAGTAATTATTAACAGCAAGAAAGTTTTAATCAAAGAGCCAAGGTCTAAATTCAAAATATCAGTCCTGAATTCAAAATCGGTTTGAATCTGGAAAAAGTCCAGTGAAATCAGATCAGCATTTATTCATAAAGATATAATATCTTGTTTCCATTCTCTGTCTACTAGGAAAACAAATTCAACAGTGGTGAACTCTTTAAGAATTTGTTTTCTTAGAAGGTAATATGTATTTGCTATCAACCCTTTAAAGTTAATCCGGTACACCGTATTTTAATGTAGTTATTGTGCCTAATTTTCGAAAATGAAGGTTCATCGAACCTGCCCACAGGTAACTAATCCTTCAAGTTGGGAAAGTAGGATATATAAAAGTTAAGCGAGCCAAGGTTGGTTTAGTTCGTTGTACCAGTATATCACATGATGAAGCTAATGCGTGTTAGCGAAACATGTTGTGTGTTTGAGAATTTTGTGGAAATCTTGTCGTTTGTGAGGTTAACACATACGCTGACGCTGATATTTTATTGAAGTTTTTTCATGAACAAGATTTCCAAAAATTTATCAAATAGTTGATCCGACCTAGTATATAAGAGTAGATGATCATGTTTGGAATGTTAATGTCAAGTCTGGGACATCTTCTCGACGCACCAATAATTGGAGATATTTTCTTCGTCAAAACATCAATATGCTTGTTCCACTTCAACACATCATCAAACAATATACCATAATATTCCATCTTTTCATCTTTTGCCTTTTTTTTCAAAAATCATATATTCTGTTTCTAGTGTTTATCGATAGAAGGTTAGAGTGGAGCCATTTTTAAAAATCTTTCAAGTCTTCATTTATCATAATTTGTCCTTGTAGAACACCCTTATCAATTAATAGTTCATTTGACATTGAGTTGGTGGATTTCGTACACTGATTGTCCTATTCTCAAGATATGAATTCAAAACATTTCTCACAGGGCCTCTGAGTCCTCTTGATGATTCCAAAAGTCTTGTATAATCAACTTAGTCGAAAGTTTTTTTGAGATCAATGAACACAGCTACTTCATAATTAGCTTAATCAAGTCGTTTCTGAATTGATTCTATCACTTGTAAAACTGCTGCTTGCGTTTCACTGTTTTCTTGACAACCAAATTGATTAGAATCAAAGCTATATTTTTTGTTGATGCAATCTACAATGCGTTTTCTGAGAATTTTCTCAGAAATTTTAGAATATATGCTCATTAAAGCTGTTGGTCTAAAGTTTCTGGGATCCTAAGCACCTTCATTTTAATAAATAGCTCTTACTGATGCATATTTTCATTATTGTGGAGAAATGTCTCTCATGAAACATTCATTGATCAATTTTCATATTGGTGGAGCTGAAATATTCTTCAATTCAAATATGTCTTTGGTAATCAAACCTTCTGGATCAAGGCATATATTTCTTATTGAGATCATGAATTATAGAATTGATATCGGTTTCATCAGTGGAAAACAAATAAAGCATTGTGGAATCATTATATTCTAACTCATACTCAAAAAATTATGATTTATAATTTAAGCTATGATCTGGAATCATTATTGACAATGATACCATAAATTTTTATCGATTCTTTATCATTATTTCTGTTTGATCTTATGGAACCTCATGGACAATTATTTATCTTATCCGAAAGTTTTCCTGATTACCTTCAGAATCTCCAAATTTTCTATAGATATTATGAGCTTCCGCTCTTTTTATCAAAGCATCTACTTCACTTCTCTGTATTTTGTATCCATCCAAAACATCGAATATCAACTTATCTGAAAGTGACAGTGACATATATGGGCAAATCATCTGATTTGTCCCTCTACAAATATATTGAAATGATACGAATACTTTTATTTTATAGAAACGAGGAGAGGAAATCCCAAAGAATCAAGTTAAATGAATGTACCACCTCCTTGATTAACCTACAGACAGTATTTAAGCTGTTATTATTATTTAGTTATATCCCAAAGTTACCTATGTTTTTCTGGAAGGAACACCCTGTATATTTTTTCATATTTGAATTATCGATGCTTCGCGCTTTCTAAGACCCCAGTAGCACAGAATATCGGCTGCAAATCGGCTCTGCATTGGCCCAATATTTGAATATCGTAAATCGGTCGGATGATATTGTAACGATATTGAATAAATGAGCTGGACGGATCAATATGAATACAATGTTGATAGGCTTACATTTTTCAGGATCTTGAGAATACTACATTGTATCGATATTCATAATGACATATGTGATGAAATCTATATTCCTCCTATATCCTGATGATTCATGTCTCGATATTGATAAATCTTCATGATAGATATATTGATTGCCTGATATCAGTTCATATTAAAACTGGATATGTAACCTATATCGATAGAATGTATCTTGGAGGATATTGCAATAAAACATCAGGTTCAATATCGTCACGTGGACTTCTTGATTTCATATATGTATTCCATATCGAATACAAAACTGCTATTCAATGATGACATCCCAATATTCCACCAATATTGTTTGTGTGGATATTGGTAAATTATATGTATACAATAAAGAGTTGTATTCTTATGACACCATCATCTGTTTGATAATGAAGCAATATTGGGAAATGGAGATGACCTCGATATTGCAAAGAATCATCACGTTGGATATCGTGAGGTCGATCAATTTATTCCATATATGTGTACCATATCACAAACTCTATATGGATCCTATGATCAAATCCCAATATCCCAGCGATATTGTTCTAGTGGATTTCATCAGGATGAGGTTGCAGCAATATTGAGAAATGCAGATGATTTAGATATTGCGAAATATCATTATGTTCAATATTGTGAAACCGACTTCCTGATTCCATATATTTGTACCATAACCAGATCCCAATATTTATTCGATGCTGTGATCACAGTGTGCAAGCAATAATATCATCCATAAATAGGAATGAAGATAATTCGATATTGGAAATAACTATTAGGATCAATATCGTGAGGTTAACTTTTTGTTTCCATTCATGTTAACCATATCAAAAACCCAAGGTCAATTCAATGATGAAATCTCAATATTAGAGCAATATTACCTATGCATATTTCAGTAAACTTTATGTATACAATATTGTGTTCTAATCTCTTGCAACTATCATCAAGATGATGAAAGAGCAATATTGTTAAATGAATATGATCATCATATTGCAAATAATCATTGTGTTCAATATTGTGAATCCAACTTCCTGATTCTATATATTTGTACCATAATCAGATCCCAATACTATTTCGATGTTGTCATCACAATGTGCAAGCAATATTATCCATCTTGAGTTCAGTCAGTTATATTGATATAATATTGAGGTGTAATCACTTGATACTATCAACAGGACGATAAAGGGATAATATTGAGAAATGGAGATAATTCTATATTGCAAATAATCATTAGGTTCAATATCGTGAGTTCAACTTCTTGATTCCATTAATGTGTATCACATCAAAAACTCAGTGTAAATTCAATGATACAATCTCAATATCAGAGCAATATTTCTAATGCTTATTCCAGTCAACTTTATGTATACAATATTGTGCTGTGATCTCTTGAAACTATCATCAAGATGATAATAGAGCAATCTTTATAAATGAATATGAATTTCATATTGCAAATAATCATAGTGTTCAATATTGTGGAACCAACTTCCTGATTCCATATATTTGTACCATAATCAGATCCCAATATCAATTAGATGTTGTCATCACAATGTGCAAGCGATATTATCCATCTTGAGTTCAGTCAGTTATATTGATATAATATTGAGGCGTAATCTCTAGATACTATCAACATGATGATAATGGAGCAATATTGAGAAATGAAGATTAGTTCAATATTGCTAGCAAACGTCAGGTTCAATATAGTGAAGTCACCTTCTAGATTTCATATGTTTGTACCATATCAAACACCTAATAATATCAATTCAATGATGAATTCTCAATATTAGAGCTTTCTCGCGCACGTTCGAGTGTTACCGTGAACGACAAAACTAGTCACCACTGTTGCCATCTTGGCTTTGTCACTAAATCTAGTATTTTCAGTAGTAATACTATAATACTATAAGTACTTCAAAAGATTAGGGCTAAACATCGATAACTTTTGTTGCATATAATTACGAAGAGTATCAGTTTAACAGTTGAAATAATCCGATCACGATGCGAAAGGATTATTATGTTGAACGGACACGATTATTTGTAATTGTGCAGAAAGTTTAAGATGCATAATCTTGAAGATTTCGAAGTTCGAATTGTATTCGATGCGATTATTTTTTGCGTAGTTCTGAACGAACGTTTAAATTTGATCATACGCTTTGTTTGTATGTAACAATATGCATTGATTAGTAAATGGAAATGGAAATAATTCTAAAAAAAGGGCTGCTCCTAGATGGCGGACAAGATTTGGTCCCATTCCATTCAAAATTGGTAAATGGGGGTTTTTGAGGTCGACGATCATGATATTTTTGTTAAAATTTGTAAATTCAAGATGGCGGCTTCCAAATTAGTTTATGTTTTTGTATAAATGACGATAACTCCGTTGTTATCAACACAAAACTATAACTGCGACATGTCATCTGTAAGAGGAAAAAAAGTTATTTGTAACTGAGTCATAGTGAGCTATGAGCTTCATTTGAACAACTAAAGTTGGTGCTGATATCTCAAATTCTAGAAGAGTTATCATATTTTTTTCGAATTCACTTCGAAAAACTCCCATGAGAATGTGAAATTCCTATCTGAATATTTTCATAAATGAAGAAGTTACGGAGGAGACATGAAAATGATCAAAATTTGTTTTTTGCGT